ACCAAAAGAACAGTATAGCCGTGAGAAGGAAGCAACCTTGTGATAAAATCCATGGAAATGTCCTCCTAGACTTGCGTAGGAATAGGGAGAGGATGAAGCAACCCACCCGAACGCTTAGTACTGTATTTTACTTGCTGGAAAGTGACACAATGGGAGACAAACTGCTTGACATCCTTGGCCATAGTTTCCCAATAAAAATTTTCACTTAGCCTTTTTAACGATTTTCTAACACTAGCATGTCCACCCATTGGAGTTTCATGAAATTCCTTAAGGAGTAGGGACTTAAATTTAGAAGTAGAAGGGCGGCCTTGAAAAATGAGAAAGTCATTCAATGTGCTAAACCCAGGAAGAGATGTTGGGTCAATAGCCAATTAATGCTGAAGAGTTACAAATTGGGGATCTAATTGGCATTCCAACTTCAACGCCTCAAGGAAATTGAAATATGGTATGCGAAGAACAAAATGAGAGGGTGTGGTAGGCACAATAGACCTTGAAAGGGCATCAACAACTATATTGGTTTTTCCAAGTTTGTACTGAATATCGTATGATATCCGAGTAATTTAGCCAAATAGAATTGCTACTCTGGCGTTTGTATCACTTGTGTCAATATCTCCTTCAAACTTCGCTGATCCATTTGGATTGTTAAAAAAATTCTCAATAAGTATTGCCGTCATCTTTTTACGGCGCTAGTAATGACGTGTAATTCCCGGATGTAAGCTGAAGCCTGTATCATTCGCAGGCAAAACTTTTTGCTAAAATATGCTACTGGATTATCAGATTGTAACAAAATCGCTCCCATTGCTACTCCGGAAGCGTCTGTCTGAACCACGCAAGGCAGAGAAAAATCTAGAAGGGAGAGGACTGGTGCAGAAACCATTGCAGTTTTGAGAGCTTCAAATGCCACAGTAGCACTAGAATTCCCATGGAAATTGTCTTTCCGGAGTAATTCAGTCATTGGTTGAGCTATGGTGGCGTAACCACAGACAAATTTACAATAGAAGCCTGTAAGACCAAGAAATCCACACAATTCCTTGATGTTTTTGGGTAGAGGCCAAGCCAAAATAGCAAAAACCTTAGATGGGTCTGGAGAAACACGACCATCACTCACAATATGCCCAAGGTATTCTATAGTATCCTGACAAAAACAACATTTCGAGGGTTGTAAGTGAAAATGATGTTCAGAAAGGAGCGAAAATACCTCACGCAAGTGTTAGAGGTGTTGTTCCATGGAAGAGCTGAAAACCAGTATATCGTCAAAGAAGACGATAACAAATCTCCGCAATAAAGGGCGAAAGACATCATTCATCGTCGCTTGGAACGTCGCCGAAGCATTACACAAGCCAAACGACATTACAAGATACTCATAATGTGCATCATGTGCAAATTACAGTTTTGGCTACATCCTCCGCTTGCAATCTGATCTAGTGAAACCCAGAAGCCAAATCCAGCTTTGAAAAACAATTGGCAGATCCCAATTCATGGAGAAGCTCCTCAATAGTGGGTAAAGGAAATTTTTCCTTCACTGTGATCACGTTCAAAGGGCGATAATCAACGCACATACGCCAATCGTCGCTTTTCTTTCTGAGCAAGAGCACAGGAGAGGAGAACGGGGACGTGCTTGACCGAATTCATCCATTGGACAACAACTTTTGAACTTGGCATTCGATTTCGTGCTTTTGAGAGTGCGCATAACGGTAAGGTCACACATTCACCGGAGCGGCACCTGAGATGAGGGGAATGACATGGTCAATTGGCTGCATTGGTGGCAACTCAGAAGTTTCGGTGAAAAGTGCAGGAAATTCCTCAAGAAGAGAATGGAGCCTCGGGTCAAGTAATTGAGTAGAAACATGATTGGATGACTGAAAAGGCCCTAACAACGTAAGGGAGAAAAATTGGGCTTCGGTGCTAGAAGAAGCCAATTGAGAGAGATGGTGTAAGGAAATAGGAGTTGGTCTTGAGTAGGTATCTTCACATAATTTCACTAACTTGGCATTGTGCACAAACTTCATAGTCATCTCATAATCCAACAAGACTGGGCCCAGTTTCTTGAGCCATTGGGCTCCCAATACTACTTCGGAACCACCCATGTCCAAAACGTGGAGATCCAGAGAGAATGAGTGCCCTTGTATCATCACGTTAACTGGTTGGCAATAGGGCTGGGAAGGATGCCCAAGCGGTGTACCACCCCACTCTGGATGAAGTTATGGGTGCTTCCACCATCTACTAACACCCCCACCGTCTGGGTGCCAATTTGTCCCTTAATTCAGAATGTTTCCGGATGCCCCAATCCGAACAAGGCATTAAGGCTCAGTTGGGCATGGGGTGTCTCTATTAAAATAGAATCAGAAGGTCCAGGGTCATGGAATGAAAGGTCGTCTTGGGCACTGATAAGGTCACCAAAAGGTTCATCGGGTTTCTCCTCAGAAGTAACCAAAAGAAAATACTTTGCTGGGCAACAATGATTTCGGGAGTATCGCTGGTCACAATTAAAACAAAGACCCTTTTCTCTTTTTTCAGCCATTTCAGTTTCTGTTAATTGCTTATAACGGACTTTTGCCGGAGGAGCGGACAATAACGATGGAAACGATTTGGGAAGTATTGGTTGCTTCGGTGTAAATTGAGTAGTGGTGCGAGAAACCACAGGTGGGGACCATTGTGAAATTGGACGTGGATTGAATAATCGTGGAAGAGATTGAAGCTTATCTTCGTGCAAACGAGCCAAACCGATGACTTGGGTTAAAGAAACGGGTTGATGAGCAAGAACTTCTCGCTGGATCGCCGGTTTTAATTCGAAAATAAAACAACTCAATATAAAAGGAGATGGAAGACCTTCAATTTGATTTGCAATACTTTCAAACTCCGACAAGTAATTGGCGAATGACGAAGTTTGTGTGAGTTTGAAAAGTTTACAGCGAGGATTGTCGTAGGCTATTGGAGCAAATCGGTGCTCAAGGGCACGCAGAAACTGAGACCATGAAATTAATTGATGGTTGTTGAACATCCATTGGTACCAGGCTAGCGCTTGACCATCCAAATAAAAGGAAGCAACAATGAGTCGTTCGTGTTCCGGTGTTTTATGGTAAGAGAAAAATTGAGAGATTTTAAAAATCCATCCTACTGGACCTGTTTCATCAAAACGGGGTACATCAAGCTTATGAAAATGGTGTTGAGAAAGAGTGTTGTCAGTTCCGGAATTGGCTGTTGGATTCGAGCCCCGGAAGCACCGCTTCCTAGAGACTCAACGTGTTGAATAACGGGTTGAGCTGTTTCAATGGTAGTGACACGAAGAAACATTTCATCCAACGAAACGCGAAGGACTCATCATTCTGAAGCAATTTCTCCATCATCGCCTCCAAGCGCTCCAAAGTTTTGGAACGTGTGTTGTCCGCCATATAAAAGCACCAATTGATAAAAGGGATATCTCTCTTTAGAGGCACAAAGAACCTCCTAAGCAAGGGCTAAGAGAGAAGAGATTGAAATAAAATTCCCCTACTCATTCTATTCCTTCCCCTCATGTAAATACCGAAAGCAATAACAGAAAAGTGCTAATCGTAAAAACAAAATGGCAGAATCAAATTTTCCCCTAACAAACTCCTTCTATAATGAATCCTAACAAATTAACACCTCAGCTAATGCATATAATTGTCCCAATCTTTGGGTCTTTTGTTGATATGTTTGGAGTTGGACTCATCCTTGGCTTTCTCTATCTCAGCAACATCTTCATTAAACTTTGATAGCAATTGGACCTCTGATTGATTTTGGACCGCATTCCTAACATGAAGTTTCACATTTATATAGAATGATACTTATTAAGTAAAAAAGATTAAACTTATGAATTAATGTTTTTAAAATTGGACTTATTATTAAATAAGTGAAAAAATAAGTTTAATTTAGGATTTAATTTAATAAAATAATATTTTTATAATATATTACGAATAATATAATAAATTCATTAATAATAATATTTTTTATAAAAAAATGATAAAGATTATTGTCATTTGTAAGTTATAACAAAGATTATAAATATAAAATATATTAAAAAGTATAAGATAGAAAATAATTAAAATAAAATAAAAATATAATAAAATAATTATCAATTAAACGTGGTGTAATTAATGTAAGATGAAAAAAATCAAAATATATTATATTTTTTATAAAAGAAATTGTAAAAAATAATCTTTAATTTTATTTATTTTTTATCAATATGGATTCAACTCAAAATTTTAAGTTTTGTACTGATTTTATCTAGATTTAATTAAAATACCATAGTTCGAAAGTAACATACTTATTTCTAGATTGATTTCCAATTAAATTAACTGAAGACCGATTTTTAAAATAGTGTTTTGTTCTGAACTGTATTTGTATTGAAAAATTATATGTGAATTGTATTGAGAGTGATAGTTTGGGTTGTTTAGTATTCATGTTTGTGTAGCTTCTCAGGGAATAGTTATGAATTTCATGTTAATTATGGTTTTTAAGTATAAACCATTCTTTTTTTTTATAATCTTTAGTTATATAATAAAATAAAATATATAATGAAGATATTTTTGTCAATTATATATATATATATATATATATATATATATTATTTATTTTAAATTTATATGAATTTTTCTATGAGTCTTAAAAAAATTAATAATAAATTATTTATAAATTTAAAATTGACAAAATTCTTACAATTTAAAATTAATAAGAAATTATACGTGAATTATTTATGAGTTCATTCAAAGAATACTTATTAACTAAACTTAATTAAAAACTTATGAATTATCCGAAAGTTTGATTAAGAGATTTAAACTTACTTAAGAAGAAATTGAGACAGTCCTAGGTGGGTTTGCAACCACTACCACATGTCCTGTGGAAATTTCTGGTCCTAAAGGTTTTAACTTTTGAAGGCTAGAAGATACCCATGATTTTCTAAGACATTCTCCCACCCACTTTTTTATTGCACTAAAGACACTCACACAGTTAGATCTGAATTCTTCGATCCACTGGGAAAAATGGAAGCTTTACTCTCACAATTCACCTTCCTCTCAGACCAGGCCCTTCAAGACAAGAACTTTGACCCTTCCACAATTGAAGATCTAATGAAGCTGTTCGAGATTGAATCCTACAAGGCATGGGCAGCTGCTGAACTTGAGCAAGAGAGAGAGGTGGAGGAAGCAGAAGCTGGCATGCAAGAAGCTGAGCAATACCTTGACTCGGTGATGGAGAGTGCCATGGATGAGTTTAGACGCTTTGAAGAAGAGCTAGAGAGGATGGCCAAAGATGAAATGGAAAGCCTGGTTCAATCTGGTGAGAGAGCCAGAAAAATGGGAAACTTGATGGAAAAAGGTGCCTCTCTTGCTTCCAAGAAATATATTGAGGCTGCACTCAATTCAGCCACTGCTTCCATGAAATCAGCTTGGAAAGGTCTATCTTCTGGAAAGGTTCATCCTTCTTAATATATATCCAATATCCAATTCCCCCTTTTCCTGATTCTATATGTATTCAGTTCAGGTTAAACCTGCCAATAAAAATACTTAAAATCCCTTCACTCTTTGTTGTCATTTTCACTTTCTAGTTACATTGCTGCTTTGCAAAATTAAGAACTTAATTAGATCAGGATTGTACCAACTGAGATGCTGTGGAACATTCAGCCAAAAGTGTAAACAAAACAATATTCACTGTTGTTGATACATAGAAATCCGTGGTTTGCAGCTTATGATTCAAGAAGCTTAATTAATGTTGAGCATTATTAAGTAATGTCTTTATCAATTTACATATTTCTTGAGAGAGTAGGTACATTGCTTCTCAGATCCTAATCCTGGACTATTCCTCACTTCTTTGATTAAATTGTTGTTGTTTCCCCTGAATCTTCCAGATTGTAATGATCTTCTAAAGCATGAAGATGAATCCTTTTTGTTTTCAGATTTCACAAATGTGTAGTTGCATACCCTACTCCACTTGAACTTATCTCAATGAAATCATAAGTTCCAATTAGCAACTTAATTTAGTGTGGACATAGATATTAAACATTGTCATTTGGCTAAAGAACTGAGAGAAGTTACAAGATGTTTACCACATCATTTTGGGCATCTTCACCTTGCATGTCCCTTTAGAATCCAGTTCTTACTGGCATCACAGTGAGGGATGTGGAATTGCAGTGGCATAGAGCTAGTGAGAGTTTCTTCAGTATTCAACAAGCCATGGTTGCCACAGTTAAGAAAATGTGTATCCAGCAAAATGATTGATATTTTATATACTGTATATGCTTCTGAGTTCTGACACTGAAGATTTAAGTTCCTTTGCACATAAACCAGATTTGTTGTGAAATCCAAGCATGCACCTGTCCCAGATTGGCACAATTTACAAGAACATTCACTTCCATATTCTCATTTCAACACAAATTTGTACTCAAAGATATTGTTTTTTCATTAGTTGATGATAAACACAAACTTTTACAATGATAGTGTATGTACGCATTAAACTCATAATTTAACAATTATGATAATTTTGAAATTATTATGGTTGGATTCAAAACTCAATAAAACAAAGGAATTACCGTAGAGGGTGAGAATATAATCTAAACATGATTCTTTATGATAAAAGAAAAACATGTTCTATAGTAATAAAAAAATAGATTGCAGAATGAAAAAATAAACTATCCTAATGATTATTTGTTTTTATATTATTTTCCTATAAAATAACTTCTCTACCCACTTTTTTCGAACACAACACATTGTAACACGAAATACTAACCCAATAAAAATAGTTATCACTAGAAAATTCGTGTCAAAAATTTTTATAATTTTTTTCTCTATTTTTTTTAAATATATCTTGTATCTTATTTTTTTCTCATATATTTTAAATATATAAATTATAATAATTTTTTTTATTACGATACTTTTATTTAATTTTTCTTCGATGATAAACGGTTTGAAAAGAAAATTTCCCTTATATATAATTATTGATATTTTTAAGAATTATATATAGATAAATACACACTTATAAATTATAATCTATTTTAACGATATATAACAGGTTTGTTTCAGGGGAAAAATATATTTAATTACGAGATCCATAAGTATAAATTTTATTTTAATCTGAGTCATGAAAAAGTAAGGAAAAAAACGATGATTTAAGGTTGTTTCTTCCAACATTTCAATTTTTTTTAATCTCATTTTTATCTAAAATTATAATATTGTTCTTAATATAAATAGGTTTAAACAAAATTATTTTAAAAAAATTTGACATTGACCTTTTTTTTGTATTTTCTATAAACCTATTGAAATCAACTTCTTAAAAATATTATAAAAAATTGATTTTGAAATGTTTTTAAAAAGTTTATGGAAATGTCAATCCAAAATATGGACATGCCGTTGGGCCCATAGTTCAATTATCCAGTCCAATAGAACAGCCCAAACACTCTACATTCGACCCGTTTTTGTTTCAACCAAAAACTATTTTAGGGTCCTTTTGTAGTGACGCGTTTATTTAAAGTTAAAAAAAAAAAGATAGAAATAGTATTTTCGTCCACCTTTCTTCCTTCGTTGGTGTCTCCTTCCACCTTAGTGTTAGGGTTTGCACTTTTGCAGGGTTTCAATTTACTATCATTATCACGTGTTCATTCCTCTGTAATTCTATTTTCATAATTCTCAAAACCCTTCTGTGTAGAATATCTTGTTCCCTGAATACTGATTTTGAAGTTTCCCCATTTTTTTTAAGGTTGGATTAATTTATTTATTTATTTTAAATTCATGCCTTTTTAAATTTGAATTGGTAGAGGACTGATCCAAGGTTGCGGTAACCTCGCTCTAACTCTGATTTTTATGCATTTCAAATATAATCCACAAATTACTATTATTAATTTTTTTTCATTTTTTGGTTTTTATGATCAATTAATAACTTCATAACCAGTTGGACACACTTGATAGTGATTATTATCTTATCTGATCGATTTGCATCGATACGTAATTTGCAGGGTAAAAACTTATGCCCCTTCTCTTTCCAATCATCTCTTGAGTGAAAAAACTATAAATATCCGAAGCTTATTGGGATATGCCTCGAGAATTGTCGCGATCCCGATCGCCTTCCTATAGACGGAGGCATTCTCCATCACCTGTGGGACACAGGTATAGCAGGAGGAGCAGAAGAGACAGAAGCCGATCTCCATATTCATCCTACCCTTACAGCAGGTGACCCCGTTTGTATGTTTATTATTTTTGTGATATATTTTGTATTGAGTTAGGATGAATTGGGGATTCATGTTTTACAATTTATTTTCTCCGCGTTAAACCTTCTATTTCTCAATATTTTGTTGCTGACTATCCTCTTTTATAATGTAATTGTAAACTGTACGGTGTTGTATGCTAGATTTTCTTTCAGGTTTGGTACTCTGTGGACGTACCGTGGACGTTATGCAATTATACTATGTTACATCTACTATATTAGAAAATTGGATTAGACTTGAACTTGAGAATATAACAACGGTTGTTTATTGATTTAGGTTATATAAAAATGTATTTTAGTGAGCTTCTTTCCCTTTCAATTAGTTGTTAAAAATTTCAAAAAATTGAAATAAATCTTTGTTCAAGTATTTGTTGAGAACTGACTATCTTTTTGTTTGAATAAATGAACTTGACCTATCAGGATTTATGAGCTATGGTATTTTATGACCAAAATATGTAGGTCGAAGTTGAACCCCATGGTGGATCAGGCTGGTTATTAAGGATTTCTATTTAAATTCAATATCTTGGAATCTTCGTATCATACACCTTCCTTTTTGTATATGCTCAAGTGGACAAGAATGGACAGTTAGATTTCTTTTATTGTGCTGCTTTGGTTCTTTTTTCCGTTGATCTCCTTGAGAATGAGATACATACTGTTTTTGCTGTATGATTGATATGCTAATATTCAAATATTTGATGACAACTTTGTCATACGAGTCTGGTGATGATGTTACTGATTTTGCTAGAAATTCTATTGAGTTTCTTCCTCTTGTGGGATTTTCCATTTAATAAACGGAAATGGAATGGAAACTCATCAAAGGATAACGTACATAGAGCATATAACATAGAGAACAAGATAGGATATATGCTATTTATAACAAATAAAAAAGATCAGTTCCTTCCCTTAACATGGGAATTGAGGGACATGAACAGGTGGTGGGTGCTGATGGGGTGTTTTTTCATTGCTCGATTGTGACATTTGCTTCTTCATGTGGTAAAAGATGGAGCACACAATGGTTATTCTTAGCAATTTCTGAGGTAACTGTACATGTTTTTGTATTTAGTGTGGTAGATGGTGGGCAGCATTTATAATCTCCGAAGATAGTTGCTTAGTTGCTGAAGTTCATTGCTTACAATCATGTGTCGTCATACAGGCGAAAAAGTCGTTCTATTTCACCAAGAAGTTACAGAAGTCCTTCTACAACTCCAAGACGACGGCGAAGCCGATCTCCATCTGCTAAACGATACAGAAGACATAGAAGTAGGAGTTCCTCATTTTCTCCTGCTCGTAAATCTTCCAGTTCAAGTCCTGGGTCAGTAGAGCACAGAACTGCTACTGAAAAACAAAAGAAAGAAGAAGAGAAGAAAAGGTAGATTAATTGCAAATCAATTTTTCTAATTCTACCTTTTTCTTCACTTTTCCTTACACTTTAAGATAAGGGTAGGTGCTTCTGGTTTATGATGAGAATTTCTGTTCTTTTTGCTTAACACATAATGTACTGCTATAACTTTGGAACACTGATGCTATTAAATGTGCATCTCTCATATGAAAAAAGGTTCATATTATCAATAAGACACAGACTGCCTGGAAAATTAGGCAAGGAAGGTTATTATGGTAAAATTTTGTAATTCTTTTTCTAATATTTTTGGTGAATGGTTCTAGTCTCAAATGTTCCGTCTGCCTTATGTCTATTTCGAATATTGCCTTACTCTACTTTCTGGTATTTTAATAGTGTTCTTCTATCTCTTTGTTTATGTTTTACTAAAATTCATGTTGTGTCGAACATGTGGGATTTATTATTATGTTACAATACAGTTACATTTTGGAAGACAAAATTTTCTTTGGTTTTGCTTTTATATTATATTTTGGCTAAAAGTCTCTCTTGATCTTGTACTTACCTAGGCTGCTAGCCTTCAAATGATCCTAATGATCTTAATTAGTTCTGTTATCTGTAAAGAAAAGAAACATAAAAGAATAGAACATTACATCTTTTTCTTCCATTGCATTTCATGCTTGGCAGAGCTTATCTCTGTCTACTTAATGGGTGGTGCTTGTGCTTTCTGCTGGGGCGGGGTTATGGTATGAATATGTAAGGGGATCCTCCCCATTTTCCTTTTTACAATTTTCTCTTACATTACAGAAAGAAAAAAGAGAGCACATTGCATTTTGTCTCTCTGTTACATGTGATCTGAATTCTAAACCATTTTCCGCATAGTAATGAAGAGACAATTGGTATGATTTCATATCATAATTGTTATCTACCTGCTGACGTTAGTATAATTATTGTTATTTCCCCTGGTCTTTACCAGAAATCTGTGGTTGGGTGGTGGGGGGAGGGCTAACCCCCCACATCCTGATTTCTCGTATGGCCTCCATAAAGGTTAAAAAGATAAAGAAACTCAACTTTAATGGTTGTTATTTTCTGCTTATTAGTCAAATTTTCTTGCAGTCCTATGGAACTTAAATCCTAATTGTCGAGCAGGTTTCTTCATCCCTGTAATATATTGACCACTGCTATATCATTTGATCATGCATTTCTTTTAGTGGCATAAGACTTGTGTTGTTTTAACATTTTCACTGTCAAATTTCTAAGATATGTTTTTATTTATTTGTCCATAAAAGTTTTTACATTATTGATTCCATCTTTTGGATGTTTCCACTTCTATGGTGCTTATTTGTTGAGGGATTTAGGGGTAGCATATTTAATCAAATACTTCATGAGTTATAAATTAACTTATTTAATCTTCTGAACCCTCTTATCTCTGCACTGGTGATGCATCCTAGTAATCATTAAACTGTCTATTTTGCACCTTTCGGGTTCCATTGGATTTATGGGCTTACTTTCTCGAGTACCACATGCTCAGAAAAGATAGACTTGATCCTATGACGCACCTGAAAGGGTCTAGTCATCAGGTTTATAGAATTGAATGCCTTCAATTTTGCTTAGTCAGATCCTTTGGATTTAAAGTTCATCCCTTGTTGCATTCTGTTATAATTTGACCGGACATTTATTAGTGTAAATCTCTTGCTCGACAGAGTAAATATTGTTATCAATAGGGTGGACATATGGTTTTTAATTGTTTTGATCCTTCTGGCACTTAACTAACAAAGATCTTGACCTATCTTCAACAACTAACTTGTCAAAGATGTTTAGTGTAAAAATTCTAGTATTTCCATGACTAGCTTAAAACTGCAGCATGTTACTTGAATTTCTTCTTCACAGGCTTGTCTGAAGCAAGGTACTGCTATAATTGGACTTGTTATGTTTGATGATCAAATTGGCTGCCTCATTTATCTACTGTTCACCAGTTTTGAAACTCATTTGTTTGGATCAGGATTCAATAGAGGTATGCCTTAAAAGCATAACCATTTATTAGTGCCATTGTCATCATGGAGGTTAGTTTGCCGTTGATTGTGGTTTTCTATTAACTAGTTCAGGAAAGGGTAAAAAGAAAAAGGGGAGAAAAAAATGAAGCAGACATATGATGTCTATTGTCCAGTTTCTATGTTAGTTGCATGTTATGAAAAACATTTGAGTCAACTTATGTGGCATTTCCGCCTTGTCCATAGGCCATTTTCCTGCTTAACATATTTTTTTTTATATTTTCATAGGCGTCAACTTGAAGCAGAGTCGAAATTAATAGAAGAAGAGACTGCCAAGAGAGTTGAAGAAGCAATTCAAAGGAGAGTTGAAGAAAGCTTGAATTCTGAGGAGGTTCAGGTGGAGATTCAAAGGCGGTTGGAAGAGGGACGGAAGAGACTTAATGATGAAGTTGCAGCTCAGCTTGAAAAAGAAAAAGAGGCTGCTGTTATCGAGGCTAAACTGAAGGAGGTATTTTCAAATCACTTTGTGCATTAATTCATTTGACTACATAGGTACACCACGGTGTATGACTATAATCTTTTATCTTTCTATTTCTAAATTTTCTGATTTGATCGGTGCATGGTTTTACCTTTACCTTAAGGTGTTCGTATAACGGTGTCATTATAGGTTTCTTGTTGACTGTCGTAGTTATCTACATTGCAAATCAACATATGTACCGTTTTAGGGTCTGGTTTTATTATTTCAATTCATTTGATATTCTAACACAAAAAAACGTCAATGCGTTTTTTACCCTGTTTAGAGAAGCTAGTTTCCATTTAACGACAACAAAAAGAGCTAGTTTTTGTCAGACGACGATGTATTTTCACTTCCAGTTTCTGGTTGTGCAGTGCATTTCTAGCATGCGGTTATATTTTTTTTTCCTAGGACTAAGTCTGGAACGATTGGAAAAGAATTTTACTTACTAGGTTGCTTATATTGATATGGTGCTCAGGAACAAGCTCGTAAAGAGAAAAAAGATCTTGAAAGGATGCTGGAGGAGAACCGGAGGAAAGTGGAAGAAGCTCAGAGAAGGGAAGCTTTAGAGCAGCAAAGAAGGGAGGAGGAACGATATAAAGAGCTGGAAGAGATGCAAAGACAGAAGGAAGAAGCTATGCGAAGGAAGAAACAAGAGGAGGAGCAAGAACGATTAAACCAAATAAAGTTGTTGGGTAAAAACAAATCTCGACCAAAATTGTCATTTGCTCTTGGATCCAAATGAACCGCTGTTGGGAAATCTGTGTATTTTGATTTGATACTTAGTGTGTTTGGGCTCAATTCCCTATTCGTCGTGTCTGTAATCTAAGGAAATTAGACAGCTTCCTCAGCTGTAGTGTGATCACACCGCTGTTACTTCTTCCATTTGGAATTACATTTCATTTTTATCACTCAAACATAATTCTCCGATTATTGCGTTCATGATTATCATGTTCTGGCAATATACATAACATCACATACTTGTAGCACTCACTTGTGTTAGAATAACCACAAGGCTTCAAGACACGAGAGAATTCAATCCACATCATTCTCAACTATTACCATCTCCATCCTACTCATAACCTCTCCTTATTGAACCCATTCAAAAATATTAAAAATTCATCTAGAAAATTGGAAATCCATTAAAATCCTTGTTTTTTAAATTTTCTTTTAATTTACATTTTTTTTCTGAACAGTATAGTTTAGTTGAATTTTAAATTATAAATTAAGAATCGAATAACACTAAATCAATTATGATTGTGTTTTTATTTATAATACTTTTACAATTATTATATATCTTATACTATCTTTGGATTGTAATTTTTAATTATAAGAACGTATAATTTATTTATAAATATAATAATAATAATAATTCTACAACAAAAATTACGTAATGTTTTGAAAAAAAAATCATTTTAAAATCAATCAAAACTAAATCACATTTTAATTTTTATGATTGGTTCAAATAATTATTTGATGAAAAATCAATCAATTCCTATCTTATCACAATCACTTGCTATCTTAACGTGATTTTTTTTAATATATTTATAATTATATTATCCAAAAATAGTAAGAATATGAAATGTATTTTTATCATTATAATGTGGAGATGTGGACCAACGCTCATCGAGAGAAGACTTGGGTTGGGCCTAATAGGAGAGTAAGATAGAGACAAGTTTCGCACCTTCCTTTGCTGTAACTCCTGCATCTTCGTTCAATCATGATTTTCACTTTTAAGATTAGAAATTTATTAGTAAATTTATGTTTTGAGTTGTATAACATAATATACATCCAAAAATTTCCTAAAAAATAAATTTGATTTATATTTATGATATTCTGATTTTTGAATTTGAAATTTATTTTCAAATTGTATTTTCATAAATATATTTTAGAAAACACAATCCAAATTGTTAAATCTAAAATATATTTCTAAAAAATACAATTTAGAACTCATTTTAATATTGTATTTTTCAGAAATATATGTGAGAAATTTTCTAAAAAAATTTTAGAATTAGTTTTTATAATATATTTTTAGAGAATACATCCAGGGAGTATAATCTAAAAATCATTTTTGGATTATATATTCTAAAAATAAATTCTGAATTTTTTTTGAGATCTTTATTAAAAAAAAATTTAGAAATAAACTTTCTAGAACCTATTAAAAAAATATTGTTATTTTAAATAAGTGTAGAGGTATTGGAATTTGAAGGTACTGGAGTGCAGGAAGAAGCACCCAAGTTTTTCATAGATGAGTTATTGGGCTTAAAAGTGAAAATTGCAATATTTACAAGGAAACTGATTATGATTAGTGTGGATGGAGGAGAGTGGGAAGAATAAGGGCAAGGGAGAAAGAGAAGAGAGAAAAAATGTGTTATTGAAAGGATGATGAACATATAATTGGGTTGAGGAGCAGAAGGAGACACTGGTCCACGGGGGGCCTGCCCTAAAGCACAAAGTCCGAGGAAAGAGAGAACAGTGACAGAGGTTGCAGTGATTGAATTGAATTGAATTGAATTGAAGAGAAGAGAGAAGAGTTGTGTAGTCTCACGTGGATCACCTTCTCCTTTCCCTGTCGTTGACTCTTTTTATCTCTTCCCCTTCCTCTCTCCATGTGTCCACCCTGTCATCTATTTATTATTGTCTCTCCCATTCTTCATTTTTTTTCTCTCTGCTTTCTCTTTTCTTTCCACATGCAATTAATGAGAGAAGATGATCTTTTATTATTCAAAAGCATTGTTTCTTGCCCTAGATATTGAATTTTCACTTAATTTTTAATCATTTACTAATTGATTTCCTCTGAGTTTGCAGTACCAATCTGTACTTACTGACCAGATTCATAATATATATTATATACAAAAACATTCACAACTGTTAAATAAGGTTCAAATAATAGTGTCTTTATTATTACCACATGGAATTAAAAGGGTGGTGATAATAATCGAAAATTGTTGTTAAATAATTTTCTTCGTGAGCCAAAAGAGTATTTAGATTTTTTTTTTCAGTAATTGGAACTAAAAACTAGTAGTTGCTAACACTGGTTAACAATGATTTATATAGAGTGCTTTAATCTAAAAATCAAAGACTTAAAAACAGTTTCATAATTTTTTTATTCTTGAACTCGTTATTAGGAAGAGCTTTATTAGTTCTGGAAATTCTGAATTGTTTGTATGAAATTCTAATTTCATTCTTACTATTGTACACAACAAATTTTGTTTCTTCATTCATTATACCTTGAAATGATTATAATATCCCTTTAACTAAGTTGTGTGATATATGAATTATGAATTCATAAAGGATATCACACTATTTTTAATGTATCTTGTTCCTTTTTTGTTTCTGATTGAGTAATTTTTTTTTAGATAAATAAATAGTACATATTTTTTCAGAACAAAACCATAAACAAGAAAAAAGTTTGGTAAATTCAAATATAAAAAATTTCAATTATATACATCTCATTCAATGATATTAACCCAAAAATATTTTTTATTAATTGAAATTAGTTCAACAACTCTTTTATTCCTGATGATACAATGTTGCTATGAATAGCATTATAAGAAAAAAAAACTATATATTTTCACTATGATTAATATAGTTAAATACCATGAATAATTTTTCTTAATTAGTGTACCGATTAATTAATTTTGTTTTGAGTCTATAGAGAGTGCATCAGAATAAAATATGCTTGTTCAAGAGCATGCAAAATATACTTTTTATATATGTGTCACCTTTTTCAAATAATGGTATAAAATAAATTACTTTGAAAAGGAAAATAAAAATAAAAAAAAATTGTGGGACTCTAAGTTTTAATGAGAGGATCGAGGTTTTAAATATGTGAGATTCGATGATAATATGATGCGATCCAAAATAAGTAGGAATGTGATTTGATAAATATTTGAGCATGTTTTCCTTCCAAATTAAGTTTGGCTGTATTCTGAGAGAATATTTATAAAAGATGCCAAAGTAATTAAAGAGTGAGAAAGAGAGTGTTCATCACACCAACCAATACAACCCTAATCACGCCTCCTTAACAATTTCTTAATTCTGTATCGCTGCAACTGTGTAAGGGTTAGGTTTTATATTCAAATGCTCATTATATATATATATATATATATATATATATATATATATATATATGTATATATATATATATATATGTATATATATATATATATATATGTATATATATATATATATATGTATATATATATATATATATATATCATGCATATGTATGTGTTTTGTGCTGAGTGTTGAAATTATGTAAGAAAGAGAGAGAGATTGTATGAATATATTAGGTGAGTGTGAGTTATAAAAAAATGAAGGTTAGGTTTTATTTATATGGCTGAGAGTTTCCTTTGCCTTTGCTCTCTCTCTCTCTCTCCCTCTCTCCCTGTCACTGGTTGCTTTAGCTTATATGTCTCCATTTTCCTCTCTTCCTTTTTTTCTCTAAATTTGAGATGAGAACAAAGGTTTCTTCATGGTTCAGAACTCAGATCAAAATTTTACGTGGTTATTCTTATTTAGATCATATTTGTTCCTTCATATTTCTCAGATATGGTTGGTAATGGGAGATTGGGGTTGATGGGAATGTTGTTTGGCTCGAGGTATCTGCATGAGGATCGGGTGGTTTTGGTTTTGTTCATCTTTGAAGCTTAGTTTCTGGGTTTCAACCTTTTTGAGCCCTTGAAACAAAGAAAGCTTTAAAGGTTGGATTTTGAGGCTACCCTTCCTGTGATCTCGGACCAGGCTTCATTCCCGTTAACCTGATCTCTCTCTCTCTCTCTCTTTCTCACGGCGGGTTCATGACGTACGGTTTCTGGTAATCGAGGTGATGCCGAATTAAAACTCTTTGACGGTGTGTCTGGTCAATGATGAAAACTCTATGGTTTGTGTTTGTGAATTCAGACATTGCATGAGACAAAACTTTTGTCAAAAACTGCATCGAACAAAGATTAACAAGATGCCTTTGACCTTGTAGTTGGTGCTTTTGGTTATCATATTTCTTGTCATATATATCTTCATTTCTTTCAACATCTCCCTCACGATTTACTTTGACTGTGGAGACTTGAGATTTGTACTATTAATTATGTCTAACTAAAGGATCAGCTTTCAATCTTTTTATGCAGTTGTTTTTCTTGGAACATGATTAATGAGTGATTGATATCAGTTTTTCTATAAGTTAAATATTGTGTTTTGAGAAACCCAAGGAACTTTGAAATTCTGCATTTTGTCAGTATAGGTTTCCCCAGCTATAGCATCTTTAGGGTTTGATATTCCCAACCATCTTTTCTTGTTGTCAATCAAGTTTCACTTCATGTAAGTAGTTGGCTTTACTTTTTCAGGTAACATACTTTTCTTTCTCTTTACTTCTTCAAAATACTTCTCTTGTCACATTTATTTGCAGTAGTGTTATGTTTAAAATTCATCTAAGTTAATGACCATAGCAATTGTCATTAGTGATTTCTTCATTAAGTTGGTTTACTTAATCTGTTTTCATGTTGGCAACGAGCAGGTGAAAAGAGATCAAGAATACTGACTGAGAAGTTATACATGAAATTAAGATGAATGGATCTGGAACTTGCATTTTCCTTTCCTTTGTTCCTCACCCTTCTCATCATTTTTCGTGTTTTTGTTTCTTTCAATGGATAAAAGTTGTTTCTTTCATGCAGTCAATGGATCATTTTTAATTCCTGTAAAGGTTTCAATAAATATGGCGAAGGATTATAATTTCTAACATTAAGATGTTAGACTCTGCAGTTTCTGTGACATGATCATATTTATCTGCAATGTTATCAAGAGTTAATGAAAATGTAACCGCAAGTTAGAATCCTTGATTTTCATTTCCTAATTAAACATGTTTCAGTTCTTTTTCATTTTTTATCAAGTTAATTGATATAATTAATCTCCAAAGCAACCAAAATTTGTAGATATTTGCCTACGTGATTAATCAATCTGTCATAACCTATCTGTTTCAACAATTGGAACTGATAAATGTTGTATTATGTTGGAAAATTTACACTATATTGAACCTTCATAACGAGCACAATGAGAAATCCATACTTCAAAAATTAAAATATGTTAATCACGTCCATTAACATGTCATGATATAAATCCATTCAAGATTGAGTAGATGGATCCACTCATTATAAGTGAAGGAACTGTAAATTTATACATTCTCACATTGTTGTTTCATCACAAAAACAACCAAATAAATTGTTTGGAAAATTAAAAGAATTGAAAAATACTATCATACGTATCACAATCTGATGGTGCATCACAAGGATATGTTGTTTACCTTGAACAACAGTACTTTTTTATTCCTCTCTGAGTGCAGGTTCAGAAAGCAGGACCTTTCTGGTGGAAAAAGTTATGGAAAAGAAAAGAAAAGCTTAATTTACTTATTCCTTCTTTTGCATCTTATCCGGTGATGAAACCTGTGATTCTTTTCGAAGTGAATGCATGGTCTTCTAATTGTTTTCAATGTTGATCGAATTCAAAACCTAAGAAGAAGTGATGATTATGCATATGCATGCATTTTACTTTTTTGTTTGATAGGTTGAAAAAATGTTCTCCTTTTCACTTTGTTGTAGCATGAGATGTACGAATAATATCTGAGCATGCCTATCCGTGCAGCTGAGACAAACCATGTGATAATTGTGTAATCATTTCTTATTATTGAATCTGATTCTTGTTTTTTTTTTCAGACCATTTCTGATCTGAAAATTCAAATATATGTTTGGATCTTTTTTGCACAAGAAGCCAAGAATATATATAAGTCTTTCTTTTTATTTTCCTTTTCATTAGTGTTACCATGACAATTATTTAGGATTTATCGTCAATGATGTAGTAATATTTTTAAAATTATTATCAATTATACATCGACCAGTATAAAACATTCAACATCGAATATTATAAATAATAATTATTCAATTACGAATTTGGAACTGACTTGGTAGACATTTTTAATTGTTGTTAAATTTATTTTTTTTCTTAACTTTTTTTTTTCTATTTTCATTGTCTCTTTTTTTTCATCAAAACTAAACATTGTACCGAAAGAAATGTGAAATTCTTATTTAGATAAACTTTGAAAATTTGAAATAGTTTATGTATTTCTACAAAGTTTGCTTCAGAAAACATAAAAGACATGTATCACATGCTTAATGGTGTGGGCCCCTGCCACTAAAATGATATCACATGCTTCATTTATGGTGGGAGTCCCTTCTACTCAAATAGATAATGTGTTTAATTTGAAACTATTTTTTAGCATCTTGCTATTCAAATTTTAGTAAGTTATAAATAATCATTAGAAGCTTAACAAGAAAAAGCTAAGCTTAGTCTAAAAGGCTAAAATAAATGTTAAATTTGAATGGAGAATTATGCAGTGGGATGATGAGATGAGGCAGTGAAAGAAAAGAAAGAGTGTTCCTTGTGAAACAGTTAATTTACAAAGAAGGATCAAACCAAAAGAAATTCAGGGGGTGTCGGGGAAAACTTTTTCCTCTAAGAATTTGAGGAAACGTTCATTATAAATTTTGGGTTCAACTACTGATACTGTGATAGGGTCAAATTGGAGGGATTTGTATGCATGCTCAATTTTCTTTTTCAGATTATAGTTCTGCAATATATCAATTATGCCCATGTAGAGGACAACATCATACACCTCAAAAAGCTCTACTTCTTTTGCCTCCACCTTATCCTCCTCAATATTTCGAGTAGCTTGAGCTGGCATGTTTACTCCAAGCTGCACCCTCAACCTGAGTAACAAAATCAGAACTCACTCCATCGGTTACACATATCACTACAAACCACAAGATCATGACATTTCCAGAAAAGTGAAAAACACACTGTGACATGTCCAACCTGATGTGCTGATGTTTTTTTATGTTCAAGAGATTGATCCTTCTTACCCAACCTAACATATGTTTTACTCTGGACACGAACTTAAGGATCAAATCTATGGCTGCATACTTAGGAGATAAGAATATCTGTCAATCATGTCACACCATGTTGTTTGTTGTAACATTTTATATTTGTCCTAATACCTCTCTTATTAACTAGTTTTGAAATTTATCATAAGTAATTTTCTATTCCTAGTACTAAGATGGAAGAAAATCCATGTAAATCCAACAACCAAAATAATGTGTAGTGTACTACTGTATAAGACAAAACAAATTGACAGAACCATAGAAACTACCTTGCAGTACCAGGCAGTAAAAGATCAACTTCACTATTACCCATGGAGTATGCCCTTAATGTATTCCCTCTAATGTGAGGTCCAGGTGCCGTGTTGACTATGCTTGGTTCATGGGAAACTAATAGCAAGCCTTTTGGAAGAATTAAGTGTTCTTCTTCTTTGAGTACATAGTGACAGAAAATTTATGCACATAAGATGTCAATTTAACAAGATTTATGCTAAAAATAGATCATATCACATTTCAAAAAACTTGTGCTAGTGGAGGTATTTACCATCTCCAGAAGGTAAATTTTCCTGACGCTGCATTGATTCATGGTGTTCCACAAATGCCTTCATATTCTCTGGAGCTCGGAAATGTAATCCTAACAGAAGGCTGTAATCAATTATATGCTGTGACTCCAAGAACTTGCAATCGAGTGAAATTTGCCTTCACCAGAAAACCAAATTCTGGTTATGATTAGATGGTGAATTTACCAACTATGCAGTGAGTGAGATGTTGAATGCAATCTTCAATGTAGCATGATACAATTTTTATGGCGTATAAACCATTACACCAAGCTAAAAATAATAAACAACTAAGTACCAACACATGCCATGATCCTGTTATCATTTTTTTTATTTTCAGAGATGTACAGGTTATTGACATCGATACACAAAGTAGAATTAATTAGCAAACTATTAAAGATTAGTTGAAATTCTACCATACACTATATAGTTTCTCCAATGACAAATTAAATAGAAAATTCACTGAAAAAGGCGGCACCTTTTGATCATTGTTTCATGATAAATTTATCAACAATGTAGTTATTACATCTAATGCATCACCTCTTATACAATCACACAGAAGTTTTCCAATTTTACACATCACCAAGATTAGTATTTAGTTGATGGAAAATCTGATAGGGAAGATCTTTACAGACGAGTCTCAAGTTAACACCCAAAAAAATGTCACAAAACCTTCAGACAACAATTTTGTGTGTCGTTTTCATTATGTTGCTCAACTTATACATTTTTACATGTTGTGAGACATTCATTATATTTAAACTCTAAAATTAATGAAGTTGTGCAACAGAGCAGGAATTGAAGCATGTAGCATGATAAATTCTTATTAGTAATATGTCAACCTTAAGAACCGGTTATTAGTTTCCAATAGGAAAGAACCTGTTAACATAAGCCATGCAATGCTATAATAAGGTGATGTATACAGATAATGAATTATAGAAGACCATGAATTTAACACCCTTTGAATTTATCAAAAAATATTCATCAGTTATACAAGCAAAAGCATTGCTCTTTTGTCACTAACGTTTGTTAGGAAACTTACTTGAGTAGGGATTCTCGCAATTTTTTATCCATATGAAACTCATATTTTAGATCAAGATCTTTCAGTGTTGTGTTGCAATTGATTTTATCATTGTCTGTATATCTTCCTTGTGAAGACCCTTTCAGATCATAACGACGGTGGATTTGTAGTTCTGTGCAAAACACATTCCCCATGACCACAAAACGCACCTGATGATAAACAAAATAAGGAAATATATATCTATTTCAATTTGAAAGAGAAGAGAAAGAAGCTCAAGAAAGGTAAACAGGTGATACCTTTTTTCCACCTCTTATTGTTATTCTATGGAGTCCAAAGAATTTTGTTATAAGAGTATTCTCATGATCTCCAACATGCCGATAATATTTAGGAAGCATATTAAGCAGAACCTACACGAGAAGAAACATATGCACATAAACATATGTGACATCAGAAAAAAGTGTTTTACTACTAATTTTCAATTGACACAAAACTGTAATCAAGGGAAGCAGAATAGGAACCTTTAGTTCAGATTTATTCACAGTCTTTATCACAAATCTATCATCTTTAGAAAGATAGAAGATGCTGCCACTTTTTCCAGGAGAAGACAAGTCCCTTAGACCACTATCTCCGCAAATGGACATCATGTACTCTGCAGCATCTAACTTGAACATCTCTCTCAAATTCCTGGAAACATAGGCTAGTGTAATTATGCCAAGAACGAAGAAAGATCAAGATAAAGTTAGTAAATACCTGAAGACCATAGGGCAATAATCTTTCCAGTAAAAGTTTATTGAACAATGTGGTGGAGTAAGCTTTGAACCAGCCCTTGGAAAGTACATCCTTATTCTAGCTCGATCCCCAAAATCAGATGATCGAACTTCGCGTGCAGGTACTGGTGTAATTTTGCCAACAGTATACCTGAGGATTTATCTAAATTAGTTCAACACAAAACATCATATGGCACACAATGCTAAACACAATGAGGTACTTGAAATTACGGTGATAACAACAACTGTTAATGTTAACGTAGCTATCAATTTTTCCAAAAAAAATTCAGAAGGGGTCACTATAAACATTTGATCAATTATTTTACCTGATGCCAAGCTGCAAATTAAGCTTAAGATAATAGCTTCGCCGGTCTTCAAAAATGTCCAAACATGAATTCTTCTTTACCAGTTTCACACTAAACTTATTTTGCTGATTCTTTTTTCGTGATGACTCTGAGCACTCACTAATTCTCTCCATAATCAGAACTCCTTGTACATACTCCCTTTCATAAACCAATGTACTTTTAACTGATGCCTCTGGTTGATCTTCACCGAAGACATTGGAAAGTGAAGAATCGTGACAAACACAATCTTGAGCAAAATCATTACGGATCAAATTTATTTTCATTGACGAAGTCCTGTGAGATATTTGACGGAAACTTTTAAATCTACTAATGACAGGTATGTTTTCAGAAAGGCTACGCTTAACTGAAGCTTTTGGAGCCTCATGTTTTTCTATATTCAATAAGACACCATTATCGTCACTGTCATGAAGGCTGTGCAATTTCTTTAGCGATGGATGTTTACTACCTGCAGGATAGAACACTCCTTTTCCATCCTTTAAGCCTTTATTCCATGTCCCGATATAAAGACTTCCATCTCCAAAATTATAAATTCCTGATCCATGCATAAGCCCATTTAACCAGAAACCATCAAAGGTATCACCATTAACCCACTTCATGACCCCTCGACCATCTATTGTCCCATTTTTCCAATTCCCAACATACATATTGCCATTTTTCCAAGTATACCTGCCACTCCCTTCAGGAACTCCTTCTTTCCATAAACCTTCATATACATCTGAATTGGAATACTGCTTCAGTCCAATCCCATCCTGAGCATTCATCTTCCACCCCCCTCTATAAATGCACCCTGCAGATGTTCTAAGTGTTCCATAACCATGTAGGTAACCTCCACATATTTCACCCTCATACTGTGCTCCTGATAACCACACAATCAGTCCCTTTCCGGTCATTTTTTCACCTTCCCAATCACCCTCATATACTGTTCCATCTGACCATGTGTACTTTCCCTTGTCATGGGGCAGTATACCCTTGATCATACCTATGTAGACATCCCCATTTGAAAAAGACTTCTCATCAAACCTACAATTTACAAGAAACTCTGAAATAATACTTTTGTTTAAAGTAAAGTTACGCTCAAAAGATTATTAGAAACAGAACACAAGAAGATGAATGCAGAAGAGAATTGAGTTTCCAAGAATATTACCTTTCACTATCCTCCATGAATTGCACGGCCTTTCTCTGATCTAGATCAGCATTAGGATAAGTATAAGATGTACCATTTTTTTTATTTGAAGGTTAAGCCTGATGCTCAGTGCTGTGATAAGGAAATCCATCTCCTTTCACCAGTCTTACAACATTATTGCAAGTGATGAATTCTGGGACATGCACAAACATCATAAATGAGTTTCAAAATGCAAGGGAAGAAAAAGTCGAAGTAGAAGAACTTCTTAGAAGGAAGAATTTATGCTCCTTTTACTGAAAACACTTTCTGAAGTCTTCCAACAAATTACCAAAAATAAAAATAAAAAAATCTTGCTCTCTAGGACCAGTTGTCATGTCATAGTCATATGGAATCAAGAAAAACAACTAAACAAGGACTTTCCCCATTGCTGTAAGGAAGAGGAAGTTAGTGAAGTTGGCTAGTGATGTGCCTGCACAGTTCAAACTTGAAATTTGTGTCTGGTAAATTATAGGAGAGGACCATGAAGTATGAATTTATTTCAATATTAGGAAATTACAATTTCATTTTGTAATTACATATTCCGAGTGTTCTTTCAACAGCCTTTACAGAAAGTCTTATTTTCAACACCTATACAGAAAGAGAGAAATATTACACAATCATGGTTTTTTTATTCTCTCATATCTTTAGATTCGGATCCTCTGGAGTTTTAAAACAACTGAAAGATTGTACAGTTGTACATCTGATGCTTTATATTTGCTACATTATATTTACAATTTTCATTTTAATGTAAACTGAAACCTTTTCTCTTGCTAAAATTTCAAGCAGCTTTTGTAAAACTGCTCTTAATCTCAATCACATATCTTCGTATAATGTTTTCCTTCTTGCTTATTTATGGATTTTTCAAATACTTTGTCTCAGGTGGAATGACAGATTTTGCTCTGCTCACATTTTTGTTGAGTTTTTAAACGTCCCCCACCTAAAAAGTGCTCAATCAATTTCTGAACTAGTAAATGAAATCTCAATCCCAAGTTTTTTCACAACTAGATTCTATAGGTTCAAGGTGAAATGATTATCTTGAAAGTAGGAAAGCTTATATTTGTCAAGTCACCTCCTTCATTGGAACAACTAGTTTTTTCTTTCTCTATTTTTTTTTTCTTTTTATATGGTGGCACTAAAATTGAACATATGAACTTACACAAACTACAGCACAATTACAGCAACTAGGTTGATCAAATAAATGAAAGCTACATTTAAAATCCCACGCAGCCAGCAGATCAACACCATATAATAACGTAACCTATAACATTTCCCATCTTCATGAATTACATCTGCAGATTATATGCTTCTTTGTAAATTTGAATGAATATGAGGGTAACCCAAGTACTATCACTGCATCAATTAATGCCCTTAATCAATGTTTTCTCTTTTCTGTATATGTTGTCAGAAGAACAAATTACCAAACAAATCATTTCGTAATAAATAGGAATTCATTCATATTATAAATGAACTGAAAAAAAGAAAGAAAAACAAACCATACATGGAGATTAAAATAGACTGGGGAGAGATAATTATCACCTTACAAGTCAGTTTTGTGAAATTAAATTAAACAATAAGCCAAGTTCTTAAAAGATGAATGATGGGTAGAAACTAAAGCCATGTACGATTTAAAATTGAGTAAACTAGTATATATATATATGAATAAACCATGTGGGGTTCAACTGCTAAAGAAGAAATTGAATATAATAATAGGATCAGTTCAGAAAAACTAAATAAGAAGTTAAAAAGTCAAGCTTTTCCTTATAGAAATGGATACTGTAGAAGTTAAATTACCCCACTTGCACTTACCATCTTAACAAAATGTGTAAACTAATATTGAACCAGATATGCCAAACGGGTTAGTTCAATAATCCAATAAAAGAATCACTTAGTGATGTGATGAATCCTTAAGTGTATTGCATAACAATGAAACACACATTGAATTGAACGATAACAAACTGAAATAATAACAAGAATAATAACCACCTAACTGACCTTGGAAGGATGCACTGAAGATCAATATTATCTATCCAAAATTCTCAAACCTAGAAGAACTTCCCAGGAATCAAAATCTCAAAACCAAAACCTTTGCAAAACAAAATACTTCTACAAGACCTCCCAGATCCTTGTCAGTTGTGCTTTCATCCATTCTAAAGTCGACAACAACCCTGCCATGTGCCAGCTTTAAAAATTAATGAAGCAAAGGATTCCTCATATATCACCAAGCTAGATTCTTTTTCAAAGAGCTCTTGGTTGTCAAACAGTTATAGAGAAGTTTATTCAGCCAGTCACATTTAATTAGTAAAGTTTCAGATGCTTAGCATAAGTTCATACTATGTGTGTATATATATATATATATACAGTGCCCCTTGTATTTGTACCAAATGCTATGCTGTCAGTGAGCAACCTGAAATGAAGACACCTCAACCATCACACATTCTCTGTCTTGTGTAATGATCTTGTCTCCTTGCAATATCTTGTTCTTATTAAGTTGTCACTAAATCACTTTCAAGTGTAAACGCACTTCCCTTAAAAGTTCAAATTCGCTTTTCTTTTTAATAAAGTTAAATTGGTATAATAAAATCCCATGCAATGCGAAGACTATCTATGTATCTAATCCGATATGCGAAATCACGAAAACGACAAAAAGGCCACCGCAGAACTTGATTCTGTTCTGTGGACGCCAACATGCGTTCTTGCTTTATGCTATTCCTTTTATATTAGCCAAATGTTACATCTACCTAATCACTATTATTTATAATATTATGTAATCATGTATCATTAAACACTCTATATGTTCATCTTACTTTTGTCTCAATTCCATTGGATACTTCAATTACACAATCTTTTAATCTCCATTTTCATATAAATCAATGTGACTTGATTAATAACCAGGGCCAAGATCAAGCCGACTTCTAATATTTAAATGATTATGTGTGAACTTATAAGGTTTTAAAAATGAAAAAAAAAAAAAAAAGTTTTGCAATAGGAAGTTATATTACTATAATAAACATCGTTAATTTATTAATTTTATATTTTATTACTGATTTTAAAATATGAAGTTTAAATATGTTATACATGATTGTGATGATAAAAAAAATTAATTTTTTTAAATTACAGAAGTGTGTTATCTAATTGGGCCATGCCCAATGATCATTTCAGGACAAAACGCATATAATTATAATCTAATATCTATATCTATATCTATATATATCTATATATATATATATATATATATATATGTATGTGTGTGTGTGTGTGTGTTAGAGACTACTTATTAACTCTACGTTCCATCCAAGGTAATGAAAAATGATTAAGTTGCATTATTTGAGTATATGGTGAATTAAGTTTCCTTGTTCCCTTGTGTTATGTTTACCAGGGAGAGGTTTTTATGTAAAATGTGCAATTGGTTAACATTCGGGTTCTTTAGTGTGCATCTTAGAATCAGAATTGTAAACCATTTAGCCAATATAATTAAATCTTTTGTTTCTAGAAAAATATAAAAATAAAGGAGTAACCATTCAAGTTTGATAGCAGAAAAAAATCAATGACTTTTATGCATATAAAGTAATAAACTATTATGTGTAAAATTTATTAAAATATCTTTTTTTATGGAAAATTAAGAAAACGCTATGAAAAAAGTGTATTTATTTATTTAGGGTTTAGCTGTGAACTCCTATTGTCCAAGGGTGTTGAACTCTTTCCTTTTGATGAAACACAGTTGTTGGTAACATTTTGAAAATATTCCTATGAACTAAAATTGCTTAAATGATAATGATAATCTTTCACAAAACTAAGTCCTCATTCAATACATTAGTATATTAATATTAATTCTATCAATTGCAAGGTAAATATGATTATCCTTCCTATCTTGCTACTTGCAAGTGTTCTTTTTTTTTTCAGAGTTTGAAGATGTTATGTAAATTTTAAAAAGTAAGCATATAAACCTAGGCATTTTGGTCTCATGGCATAGTTGTGATAAGAGAGAATCTTAGCGAATGTGAGCAGAAAATTGTGGTTGATAACAAAGTCGGCCAAACATATACAACAAATAATACTTCAGAAATAGAGTCAGTGTCCAAACTACAATGAAGGTAAGAACTTAAAATGATCAATGAGAAAAATAAAGAGTTGAACCATGTGTACACAGGAATGAATAACCATTAGCTGATACTATGTATAAATTATTTGCCTTCTGATTCAGAAGGTTTGGTAGTATGCACAACTTTAACAAAATACAATATAAGAACCTAACACATACCATGTGTTAAGAAATGTTACCTGTGAAAATTAAACACAAGCAACCCTAAAATAAAATTAAAACAAGCCCATGAACCTATTGCCTGGACTTGCGACCGAATTTGTTGATCTTCATCTTTCTAAATCTTCCACTGAGAAGAGTAAATTTACTTTACTCGAAACGATGCCTTATCTGTGTTCCAAACTGTATCTGATTCAGATTCAACACTCTCATCTTTGTGTTGTTTGATATTTAGGTTCCTAACTTCATCCTGTGCTTTAACTGACTTGTCAAGATGAAATGGTAAGTGGCTTGATTCCCACTAAGTCAGGATCGGGTGAAAACTTATATGGCAACTTGCTATCGTCCATCTTTCTGAAAGTAATAGAAATTCTGTAAAAGACAAATGTTTTAGAAAACCATACAGTAAAACAGGAGAAAGGAATTTTGAGTAAATTTGACAGATTAAAAGGACCTTTTTGATGACACAGATGGAATACAATGCTTAGCAACGTCAGCTCCATTGCCATTCAAAACGAACACTGACCTGCGTGATCAAAATGATCATTAGTTTGTCTAAACAATCACAAATAGATAGGATGTAAACATGATAAAAAAAACACAATATTTGGTCAGTACATACAAAGCTAGAAAAAAAAAAAACTGAGGTCGTGATCAAAAGTTTATTCATATGTGATTGGAAGTGAAGAGGAAGGAACGGAAGCTCACCCAACCGGTAAAGAAATGAAGATGGGACCTGCAAACTCTCCAGCACAAACAACTTGCAAGTTTGAACCAAATAATATTTCACACTCGTTCAAGAATGACACAGTGTAGAATGGTCTCACAAAATCATGATGGTCAATATGAGGAGGAATGCAATCTCCTTCTTCATAAATGTTCACGATGCAACTATCAGGAATGCAAGAGGAAGGAACTATATTCCACCTAACCATCCTCTTTATCATTTGCTTGAACACAGGTGGTAATGGATCAACCTCTTCATCTCTCATTATGCCAGGAGGGTTACCATATTTGTCCTGCAATGTGCTACACAATTAAATAAGAACAAAAGTCAAAAAAGAATAAGAAAAGGAGTAAATTATGCTGTACTCGTACCACCGCATAATTGTAACAGCAGCCAAATTGTATTGTCACACGTCCCTTACCACGCATCCACTTTCTTGGTTCTGAATATGTTCGATCTGTACACAAAAAAGACCAGTAGATGTAAGACATGTTGCTTCATTGAACTATGTAAACCAACCAAATGGATCATTTTTATTCCGGGTGTATTCCATGTAATGCATAAAACCCAAACATTTTTCACTAGTGTAGAGAAACTATTTTGCTAGAAGTACAAGTGGATAAAGTAGACTTTGAGGTATGCTAAATGATAGTATCTACTCCCATAAACAGATTGCAATATGCTAAATGAGAGGCAATATCATTGCCATACTCTTGAGCAAAACATACTTAAAGAGATTGTAATGTGTACAGTAATGGAATATAGAGCACATGAATTCAGAATCCAGTCAATTTGCAACTATGATGAAGTCATACAGAAAAAAAAAAAGGTTTCTGTACTACCCAAGTAAAACCAGTCAAATTAGATGCATGTTAAAGGAACAATTCAGCACACATTTAATTCCACATTTCATAAACTTGAAGACCAAATGGTTCATTTTAATCTTAGCTCTAATTTCAGCACTGCAAGCATAAACTTAAAAAGTACAACAAACATGTGTTAAACCTAAAATATGAAAATCAAAAGGTGTATAATGTAGTTCACAAATTAATCGAAAGACTGAATCACTGAATTGCAGAATTTAAAAAAGAACAAGAAATTCCACAGCCCACACATACCTTTAAGTTTCCCTTGTTGTCCCCTCCATTGCAATCTGTATATCCACTCAACAATTTTCCTCTGCTCCAGAGCATTGAAAACTTCAGCGTGAAGTTCAAGCCCCTGGAGCACATTTATCTCTCTCGTATTTACCCTTTCAACGAAGGTAAAGTCCTTTCTACTGCGAACCAGAGAATACCTTATCCGCTCCTTTCGTTCCTCCGATAACCCATTTTCAAATGAAGAATCTTCACAAATCCCATCATTTAACAACAACTCGAAATCAGATTGCTTGCAACTCACCAAATACTTTGGTAAAGAACCCAGAACGCGTTTGTTATCATCCTTCACTGAAGCAGCAGAATCAAGCCTATGCTGTGAAGAGTTCTTCGGAGTATCCCATCGTTTTCTTTTTCTTTTAGTCAAAGACTCTGAATTCGAAGCATTACCATTCAAGGGCATGTCCACTACATGATCCCCAGAAGACTCAAAGCCTTCATCAAGAGAGGAAGTTTCTTCCAACTTTCCTACACGCAGAAAGAACCAATTACCAACATATAGACATGCATTAGGCAATATAAGCATATGTCTGATATCCAATAGTATTAATTCAAAGAAAAAAAAAAAAAAAAAGGCAAAAAACTAAAATTGAATTGGAAGTCCAGAAGCAAAAGCGGGTAACTTTTTTGTGATGTAGAGAAAAATAAAAGTAGCAATGAGTTGTGAATAAATTATGATGACTTGACCGATCTAACAATAAGTGGGTAGTTTGATACTTTTACGAAGAGTTTTGATTCGAGCATGGAGAAAAGCCTGGCATCGGGAACAGAAGCCATGAGAGAAGAGATCCAAAATGTCCTCTTTCTTCAAAGAGCTCAGAAGCTCCATGGATACGGCATAGCACGACTCACACTGACTTGGTTTTCATCTCAAGTTCCTTTGGTACCAAGTCAAAGTCTACGGAAACAGAATATAAATTTCTATTACTGAAAGAGAGAGAAACAATTCAAACATAAACCTAAATTAGTTTAGCAGGTTCTTTCAATTTTTCATGCATTTATATATATATATATATATATATATATATATATATATATATATATATATAAGTAAACTTAATAATTTATTTTAATTATTAGAATATATATTATTAAAAGTTTACTTGGACGATGATCTATATGTTGAAGAAAAATGGGGCCGGGCCTAAAAAGAAAGGAAGGCCAATCCAAATGAGCGTAACGGCAGTGTTGTCGTGTGAGTACGGTAAGCTCTGTGAAACGAAAAGAATGGAGGTGTCATCTTCATTAGGAATGGCATTTCGCCACTCAGCAATTCCTTCTTCTCTTGCAATTCCCGCTTCTGCGTCGACGACGGAGCCACACACTCAACCTCAACCTCAACCTCACAGAAATACCGTTAAACTTCGAAGCTCCAAACCCTTCCTCTCCGCAAGAAAAGCTGCCGCACTTGAAATTCATCATGCTTCGGATTTGCCCTCTGCTCTAGCTAGGTTTTCTCTATCATCACGATGCCATCTTCTCAATCTTCCTTCTTTGTTCAACATTTTCTCACTCTAACTATCATTTTCAGGCATGGAGATGCGTTGACGGTCAAAGACCTCAATGCAGCTCTGTATCACTTTAAAAATTCAAACAAATTCAATCATATCTCTCAGGTGCTTGCTTCTTCTACTTTTTATAAGAGTGTATTTGGATAAACTTCTCAGGCATATGAAATAATAATTTTTATTAAGTGAAATCAGCTTATTCATAAACTACAAATAATATTTGAATAGTTAATTAATATGAAATAACATTTACAGATTAACTACAAATTATTTTATTTTATGTTATTGATTCGTCATTATTTTGTTCCATAATGTTTGTTACTATTATTGCAATTGTATTTGCAGCTATTTAAGTGGATGCAAGAGAAGAATAAACTTGATGTTTGGTCTTATTCTCATTTCATGAGGTTCATGGCAAATAATCTTGACGCTGCTGCGATGTTGCAACTGTACCATAGCATTCAAGATGAATTGGCCAGAAAAAATATCCTTGTATGCAATTCTGTTCTTGGTTGTTTAATCAAGAAAGGCAAGTTTGATTCCGGTATGAAACTCTTTCAGCAGATGAAACTAGATGGTCTAGTTCCTGATCTTGTTACCTATAGCACGGTATGTCATTATTTTTTAATCTTATAACATATTTTGCTTTATTTACATTTGTCAAATGAGATGTTTGTTTACAGTTGCTTAATTATTTACTTCACTTCTTTTCTCTCTGTCTAAATGCCAAAACATATGTGACTTATTGTTCTATGTAATGCTCCACACGTACGTTAGAGTTATTGTTCTCTGGTTCCTTATGATATTGATTAGTTCAGCATAGTTGAAATGATATCTTTAAAATCCTAACAAACTCCCACCCAAACGGATCCTACAGGTAGGCATTATTCTAAAGAGATTATTCCCTACTAGCTGAGTCAACATTCTAGAACAACTAGGCTAAGACAGTACTAAAGGCCCATAAAATTGGCTATGTCTTTCACTTAATTTTTAGGATTGTTGTAACCCTTCTGCTGTAACATGGATTGGGCCTTCTCTTATAGACTTTGTATTCATGACAGTTTCCCTATGATATTAATTAATTCAGAATGCTCGGAGTTATAAATTTTAAAAAGAGGAAAATAAAAAGTTTAATATTTGATATTCTCTGCTTGATTTTCCATCTAAAGCATTAACTGTTATTTTAGGCATTTACATGGTTCTGACTCTAGGATTTAATCATTTCCTGTTGTCTTATCGTGGTTGTTCTCATCTTTAGCTTCTTGCAGGTTGCATTAAAATAGAGAATGGCTATCCTAAGGCCTTAGAGTTAATTCAGGAATTGCAGCACAATAAATTGCAGATGGATTGTGTAATTTATGGAACAATTCTAGCAGTGTGTGCTTCCAATAGTAAATGGGAAGAGGCAGAAAACTATTTTAGCCAGATGAAGGATGAAGGTCACTTGCCAAATATTTATCACTATAGCTCTTTACTCAATGCATACTCAGCATGTGGAGACTACAAAAAAGCTGATGTGCTGATTCAAAATATGAAATCTGAAGGGTTAGTACCAAACAAGGTTTGTTTTCCTTGCCATTTACTAATTTTAAGATGACAACTTGTGTGTGGCTTAATGGATATTAAATCATGTTTTACTATGAATGACCTTTGATAATATTAAATAGATAAGACTATTGTTCACTGTGATTTAAAATTGAAATTGGGACACTTGTAGGATATCTTAACCTCGTGCTAGATACATGATTCAGAATTGTAGATGAAAAAAATTAGGATTTCATCTTCAATGAAGCAAGTGTACCAATCATTCAAATAATTAAATATTAAGTAAAGTATTGTTTTCATGAGGATTGATACAAGTATCAACTAATACAAAATCAATACTATTTGTGAAAACTAAAATGAACGGCAAAATATTAAGAACTAAAAACTAATACAAAATAGGAAAACAAAAATGCAATTGTGGCATTTATTATAAGAAATCAATGAATAAAACGAGTGGGGCACGAATCAATAACAATTATTTGAAGTGGATGTCTTGTCCTTGACCTTTACAAGTCACTCAAGTACATTTTTATTTTAATTTGAAATTAAGAAAATAATAGATTTCCCCTGAGCAAAGTGTGGCAGGAAAATATATTCAGCTTCCTCAGTCTAACATGTCAATCTAGTTTAGCCTAGAAGTGGAATACTATAACCAGCTCTAACAACAAAGTAAAAAACTGAAGCTGTGGTTTCTATCATCTTTAAAATTTTGCACATTCATCCTTCTCAATGGAGTAACTCTTGTCTAATCTATGGTGTGACGATGGCATACTAGCATTCATAAGATATTTATATCTAATAATCACTAATATGGGTTGGACAACCGTGCTTATAATATCAAAATAATTTATGTGACTTTACCTATCAATTTAAGAAATAGTAGGTTCATGACATAGTGGCTAAGCCTCTGTTACTAAGTCGCCTAGTTATCAATCCTTACCACTTTTGTTCTTCTAATAAAAAGTTGAATTTAAGAGCAAGGTAGGTTGGCCTGTGCATTCTTCACACTTAAGCCCAGAGGGACCTTGTATGAGGATATACAATATAAAACCATTCATTTGTCTTCACTTGGCATCTCTTTGTTTGTCACGTTGTAATGCAAAACCTTTTATATGTTTCCTATATGTCGGTTTTTGATACTTGATACAGAGCAAGCCTTCCCTAAAAATGACTCGAGTTTGTTTAAAATATGATTTGCAGGTCATTTTGACTACCTTACTGAAGGTATATGTTAAAGGAGGCTTGTTTGAGAAGTCAAGCGAATTATTAGCTGAACTGAAATCTTTGGGCTATGCTGAAGATGAGGTAGCAAAAACCCTTGAAATGAACAACAAATTGTTGTTTTGGTCTGAAACATTGCGAAATAATTTATACATACCATATTATCTATTTTTAATTGATGACCGAATATTTGTTTCATATCATTAATTATATATCCTTCTTTTGACCTTTTTGGTTTCCCATGTCCTCTTTTCCATCTACCTTCTTTTACTGGTTCGAATTTATATGCAGATGCCATACTGTATATTCATGGATGGCCTTGCTAAGGCAGGACAAATACATGAAGCGAAACTAGTCTTTGATGAAATGATGAAAAACAATGTCAGATCAGGTAAGTTATCTTTTGGAGTTTGCTTCAAGTAAATAATATGATGTGATAAACATCCATATAAATATTTGGTTATTCTAAAGCTATTGACTAGTCACAAGGATTTTAAGGAATTAAAACAATATAGAGTTCGTTAGCCATATGTATTTGTTTTGATTACCTGGATCGACTTTTTCATGGTGATGCAATGAACTAAAAAATATAATTCCTTTTTCCTTCAATTTTTTTAGCAATCTGAAGTTATTTTTTAAATGATTTTACTTTATATATATATATATATATATAGACACACACACAACAACAACACACACCGCCTCTATTGGATCTTAAGCTGTTAGTAAAGTTGATCCTTGACATGTTCTTAGCGGATTGTAATTTGTAATCTCCGACCATTATCAGGCCTTCATTGTGAGGGTAAGCATTTAGGAGAGTTGATATGAAATGGAGATGAATAAAACTTATGGAAATATGAGAACACTATCCTTCTTGGTGCTATACTTGTTCCTATCATTCCATTTTTTGAAGTCCAGCAGGAGTGTCTGTTCATGGAACTAATAATAGATACTTACAAATCTTAACTGAGCTCTGTTTTTCTTTATGCCATTAAGCTTTAGTTCTTGTAAATTTTAGACTGAGATTTTCAATTGGTAATAATTTTACTGATTTATTTCCCACATGTGCAGATGGCTATGCTCATAGTATCATGATATCAGCATTATGCCGAGCCAAGCTTTTTTGCGAGGCAAAACAGTTGGCCAAGGATTTTGAAACTACCTCTAATAAATATGACCTAGTCATACTGAATTCAATGCTCTGTGCTTTTTGTAGAGTAGGTGAAATGGAAAGTGTAATGGAAACTCTAAAAAAGATGGATAAACTGGCAATCAGTCCTAGCTACAATACCTTCCATATTCTAATAAAATATTTCTGTAGGGAAAGAATGTATCTACTAGCTTATCGAACCATGAAGGACATGCATAGTAAAGGCCATCAACCAGGAGAGGTATAGTGTTTTATCCAAGTACTAATATGATGCCCCTGTATGATTTAACTTGGTCTTCCTCAGTATGTGGCTGAAATCTGCTTTTTAATTTTATTATTTGTACAAATCTTTTTTTATCTTTGTGAGGGCGAGGCTGCTACCTTGTTACCTAAATGTCACAGGATCAAATCCTGGAAGCAGCCTCACTGCTTGTTGGATAAGGCTGTATATAGCTATCCTCCCTTGACCCCACTAGATGGAAGCCTCATCCACTGGTTTTTCATTTAAAAAAACTGAGAATGTTATTTAATAACGTTACTGCAATCCTTTTTTCATCTGTTGTTGGTTCAGTTATTAAATTACAGTTTCCAATGTCTTCCTCCCTCTGCAGGATCTCTGTGCCTCTTTAATATCCCACCTTGGTCAGGTAAAGGCTTATTCAGAGGCATTTTCTGTTTACACTATGTTGAAATATGGCAAGAGAACAATGTGCAAGTCACTTCATGAGAAGGTTCTCCACATTCTCCTAGCAGGACACCTTTTGAAAGATGCATATGTAGTAGTCAAGGTATTAATCGTTTAAAGAATACATAAATCGTATTTCTGCTCTTGTCATTGCAGTTCATCTGATGAATCTTATCCTGTTCAGGATAACGCAAAATATATTTCTCGTCCTGCCACCAAAAAATTTGCTATTTCATTCATGAAGTCAGGTAACATCAACTATATAAATGATGTTGTGAAGACCCTCAATGATAGTGGCTACGAGCTTGATCAGGTAATAAACTTGGTAGTATTTCAATTTGAATATTGTTATTAGAATGACATTTAATTCATTATTTATTTTCCTTGACATAAATAATCACACCCACTTAAAGAACTTCCAAAAGTAAAAAATCATACCATTATATTGCAAAATTCCTAAATTAATCCTGATTTCTTTTTAACAGTTTCAATAAAGTAGAATAACTGATTTACTTTGTTAACAACTAGGTCAAAGTTCAAGGATTTTCTGAAATTCTGAAGCTAGGATTTTTTATTTTTAGTTTTTACTCCAAAATTAATCATTTTTTTTTCTTGTGCAGGACCTATTTGCGATGGCCGTGTCACGCTATTTAGATGAACCTGAAAAGAAGGACTTGCTTCTACACTTACTACAGTGGATGCCAGGGCAAGGTTACTTGGTTGATTCATCAACAAGGAATTTAATCCTCAGGAATTCACACTTATTTGGTCGTCAGCTCATTGCCGAGGTTTTGTCCAAGCAGCAAGTACAATTAAAACACAAAAATCTCACTAGATAAAGCATCATCCTAAACTCTACGGTTGAGGAGTTAGTGGTACATTGCATCACTTCATTATTCCCCTCTCCAATTTTTTCGATTGAGCATGTGATAAATAGCATATCTACACCTTATTTCTAGTGGTGTGGATTGATGAGTTGTATATACAGTAGAGATAAATATATTTCGTGTCAAATAGTGTTATTATATGATCCTTTAATTATTTAAGTTCTTGTCAATAACCTGTCTTCTTTTGCAATTGAAACCTCGTCGAAATGCTTATGTCTGCTAACCATCATATCGTTATATTTTGCCCCATTAACAAGTAGAGAACCTTTTATCCCCACCCAAAAAATAATTACATTTGAGGCTGGTGTTTTGTCTATCACAAATGGAAATTCATACTTTCCTAGCAATGTCTATTTTATGTTTGATTGGACGAAGCAGAAATAAATGTAAGGTTGATTCTGTTAGCAAGAAATAAAAGAAAAAATAAATAAATAAAAGAATTTTGAAGTGCCTAACTGTCATCACCTTTGAGATTCATAGTTGACATTAATACTCCTAAAATTTTGTTCATGTGTTCCATCCTAAACAAATAAATACTTGTTACTCGATATTAACTTCTTTAAAATAAAAACTTTTCAATTTTTCAATTTTTCATGACAATATTTGCATTTTTTATTTAATATTTATATGTTTTATTATTTAAGGTACCATAAAGCGAACACACATTAACAAAACTTAACACTGAAATAAAAAATATAGCATATGTTATGTAATGTTAAATTATGCAATAATTTATCTCCCACAGTCATGAATTAGCAAGTTATTTAAAGAGGTAAAACAGAGAATGAGTGATATCCAATGAGTTTTGACTGTTTAACAGCTAATACTACACATTCAACAGTCAAACACAGGTGTCTCGACTGGATACAAATGGATTCTATCTGACCATGCATTCCTTACATTCAGATCTGTATCCGAGAGGCACTTCCAAACTGCACTGTTACACTTGAATCCACTTCCAAAGGCAATTTGCCAGATCCTGTCTCCTTTCTTTACTCTTCCTTTTGCCTCCAAATAGCAAAGCTCGTACCACAGAGAAGAAGAGGAAGTATTACCAAATCTGTATAATGCCATCCTTGAGGCTTCGCTGTCTTCCTTCTGCAGCTTCAAACTTTCTTCTATAGCATTTATGACCGACTTACCACCAGCATGTATACAAAAATGCTCAAAGGCCTTCCTGAAATTTGGGACATAGATTTCCTTATTCCCCCTTGCCCATATTTTCCTGCAAATTACTGACCATCCAAAGCGCAGCTGCTCTGAATATGGCAGGACAAGAGGACCTAAGGCTGTTATATTGGTCCTCAAAGCTGAACCAGCTACAGTAAGAAGTGATCGTGAGAGTGAAACACCCACAATTTCATTTTTATCAGGTTTCTGGTAAACACACTGATATGCTTTGTCATTTGATCCCATGTGTGTTCTCACAAGATGCTGAAGCTTATACTTGGCCACTGCCTTGTCTTGTCTTCTGTTAGATAGTAAAATGGCTGCTCCCCCCATCCGAAACAATACATTTGCAATAAGCATCGACTTGTCATTACCTCTGTAGCCATTTGGAGCTACAGCCTCCATGCTAAGAACTAAAGCCAATGAGTTTTTATGAACTCTCAGCAGATCTTTGGCCAAGTTTATTGACAACAATCCAGCACTGCAACCCATTCCACTCAGGTTGACACTCTTTATGTTGCTCCTGAATCCAAACTTGTTTATGATCATTGATGTAATGGACGGTGTAGGACAGAATAGGCTGCAATTTGACACAAGGATGTCAATGTTTTTAGGATGCACTTTGTGTTTGGATAGTAGATCTTCGACAATTCTGAAAAGAACCAATTCAACTTCTGCTTGTGCAGGCTTCATGGAATCATCTGGGGGGAGCTCATGAACTGATTCTGGCATGCAAGCCTCAACTCCAATACCGGATCTTTCCAACACTTTCATTTCAAAATCTATGTTTTCTGGGTCAAAATTGCACATTTCAAAGTGTTCTATCATATGAGAGTAAGGGTTGCGCAGATGATCGGGAGGCGAGTAACAAACATAGTCAAGAAGGTACACACTTGCAGGTCTGAAACAGAAGCAAAGCAATATTAGAATTAATGCTATGGTTGCTAAGGATTGTGTGGAAGAGATTGCGTTTTCAGATATGACAGAGAGGTTATTGAAAGAAAGGTATTTGGATAGAAGAGCTTCCATTGTCATAAGTTTAAACTGAACCATTTGAACTTTGGATATGATTTGTTTATTCTAATTTAAAGAAACAGTGTATGTGGTGGTTTAAAAATGTAACTGCTCTCTCTTTCCCACGCGTTCTCGTTCCCTCTTTTTCCTCTAAATAAATTCATTCACTAGGAAATGCAGACCAATCCATTGTCATCACAAAGTTTGTGTGATGAACTAACAACTAAGATATTTGCAACCTATTTAATTTACGTTGTAAAATAGTAGTGTCAAAAGGATTTATTTAAAAATTTGAGTTGCTTGGTATTGAAACCTAAAATTATGTTTTAGTGTATATAAAGACACTTTTTAAAGGAAACCTTAAAAATAGTATGTATACCCTAAAAAAACAATTGAATAAACAATTAAATAATAGGTCATCATCATTCATGTGAATGCAAGATAATAACTATTGAAAAGTCAACAACTTATTATACATAACGGTAATTTTATTATTATTTATCAAAAGAATTAAAAAAAAAAACAAAGATTACAATATTTGTAATAACTCTTTTATATTATATTTAATGTCAACGTCAACTTAGTTTACTTTTTTAGAAATAAATCATTATGATGATAAATTCTATTAAATTATCTAACACAAATGTCTTGCTCCTATAATGTTGATGTTAAGGTATATACACAAATTTCATGTAATAAAAGATATTTTCACACTTTCTTCTTATAAAAATTTTAAAATAATAATATTATGATTGATTGATAGAAAGAAAATGAAAAAATAAAAATAAAAAATGATATAAAAATCTAAAATGAATTATTTAATTGTTATATATATAAAAAAAAATAACGGCAAACCTCCATTTTCTTATACATTTTCTTATGAAAATAGAAGTGAAATCAGACGTTAACTGCAAACCTCCATTTATGAAAATTGTTATTTCTTTCTTAAACTTCTATTTCTTGTAGACCTTTATATAAAATTAAAGTGAGTAAATTCAAGATTTAAAAAGGAAGCAAATTCTAAAATTATCCGATAATATCTTTAAATTTAAAATCATCCTAAAAATTGAAAATAAAAATAAAAATTTATAAACAAGAAAAATTATTTTTAAATTAAAGATAGATATAAACCATGTATACAAATTAGATAAAAGGTAATTTGATATGGTAAAAAGAGACATTTTTAAAACTAATTTATATATCAAAATAAAATTCAAATTCAAAATAATAATTATATTTGACAAAAACAAAAGTTTAATAAAAAAAATACTCAATATATAAAATTATCATAAAAACATGTGACTCAACTAGAGTAAGAATAATTTCTGAAACGCTCTCATTAAATAATAGCTCGTAAAAATGTTTTCATTAATGAAAAAAATTATATATTAATATAGAGATTGATTTTATATGACAAAAAGAATTTTTTAACACTTTTATGTTATGTAAACCTTTCATTTGAATTTCAAGTTTAAACTATGTTTTTATTATTATTATTATTATTATTATTATTATTATTATTATTTCTTATCTCTTATTATTATCACTTTTGCTGAGACCAGTGTAACATTAATCACCACATACTCATTCCTTTTTTCCACCCCTTCCACCCTCCCACCAAATCCTCATGAAGCCCAATGACTCCTCTAAAACGGCATTTCGCACCCATAAAAAAATGCCACTATGAACGACCTCTTCTACCCTCACCTGCGTCGTTGTATCATCGTCTTCTTTGAAGATATACTTGTTTATAGCTCCACCTTGGACGACCATATTCTCCACCTCGAAACTTCTTTCAAGGGGTCCAAATGTCACATTGGACAGCAAACAATTCATTACTTGGGGCATGTCGTATCTGTTGCTGGTGTACGCCTGAGCCCACCAAGGTTGAAGCAATCATTGACTGGCCAATTCCCTCAAACCTCAAATCCTTACGTGGATTCCTAGGGCTTACAGGCTTCTACGTCAATTTGTGCAAAGGTATGCCTCTATCGCCTCTCCCCTTACGGATTTACTGAAGAAGCAGTTACACTCCAATCTCCTTAAGGCACAAAAGGACATGAAACGATGGGCAGACTCCCACTGTCGTGACCTTAGTTTCGACTTGGGTGATTGGGTTTATGTCCGGCTTCAACCTTGCCGCCAAGGCTCCATCACGAACCACTACCTTGGCAAGTTGAAAAACGGTTTGTTGGTCGCTTTCGCGTGCTTGAGAAGATTGGTGCAGGTGCCTACCGCCCGGATCGTTTAGAATTAATTTAATTAATTAATTTTATTACGTGACTAAATGAAATTTAATAAAATATGAGGATCTAATAACGTGAAGTTAAAATAAAATAAAGATAAAATAAAAATATTAATTTACTGTAACCAACTTGATGGACGTTAGTTAATAAAATAAAATAAGGGTTTTGTTTCTGTTTTCACGTAAACCATCAAGAAAGCGTGAGAAGATAAATAAAGACAAAGAGATAGATTGGGAAAATGATATTAGAGAACGAATAGATTAAAGAATAGATTCACATGCATCAAGGTTAGTCTTCTTATTATGATTCATGTATTGATGTATGTTATATTGTGAAAATAAATAATCTAAAGATCATGTAGAGTACATTAAAATTTTACATGTGGTATCAGAGCACTTATTATTAGATTTATGATTTTTCTTGTATGAAAGTTTTCCCAAATATTAAGTTTTTCCCAAATTAAGATAAACCCTAATTATGAATTTAGGGATTTCTCTGTCAAATTAGTATGAACTCTAATTTATTCCCAAATTTATTTTTCTCAAAATTAAATAAAGGAATAAACCCTAATTATGTTATCAAGTTCAAATTGAAACCAATTTTATAGCCTCTATGCGTGAATGAACCCGTAATTGATTTTAATTGAAAAGACAAATGGCGTGATAGGGTTAGGGTGAATCATGTATGAAATTAGTTTTATTGTATGTTATAATTATGATGAGATGTTATGATGAAATGTTATAATTATGATGGAAGAATGGTAAACTGTAAAGTTGATAAACTTTGCGCGTACGTGTTAAACACACAGGTTTCATATATTATATTATATTATTTATAATATTATTTTATATGTACATATTGGTTTGGTGACTGGTGATCGCTAAACCTTTTTGTCCCTGTATTATTTTGCCCCCATATTATTTATACATTATTTTGTAGGTACATATTTTTTTTATGTGGGTGAAGGATAATTAAAGAGTTATTTTTATGTTAAGGTGAGTTGTATAATATACTCATACAAGTTTTGTTAAGGGTAATGTAAAGTTTTGTTAATGGTACTGTAAAGTTTTGTTAATGTACTATGAAGCTTTGTTAATGTACTCGTGAAGCTTTATTAATGTATCGTGAAGCTTTTTTAATGTACCTATAATATAAACATTGATAAATGAATGAATTTTGTTTTGTAAATTGAATTGTATTCCGTTGTGTTTAAATTACTCATAAAAGTTTTGAATGGATGACAATTTCACTTTTACATGAAATGCAAATAAAGGTCTTGGATTGATCAATTTTAACATTTGTAATTGACTGGAAACTCTTGTTAGTTTAAAAGATCATTTTCCATTTACCATAATTATTTAATCAACTTGTTCCCACCAACAATATAAATAAAAGAAAATATTTTTAAGTTAAAATTCAATACCTAAGATTGTACGATCGACGATGTAAAAATGAAAACGGAATACTCATATTTTTAACATAGTAACAATTAATTTTATCTTCTCGTATGATGTCATCCACTCAAGAATGCGTTACCCTCAATTTTACATTTATAATTTTTTAAATTCATAGAGAATATAATTTTTTTACTTTTATATAACAAATTAAATAAAAACATACAAAATTTATTCTAATTGACAACGTTAGTAAATAAATCTATTGCTTATGATTTATTTATTTTCTGAGTACAATTTTTGTCACCAAATTAGCACGATGAGATGAGATATTTGAAGGAGGACATTTAATTTATTCATGTACATCGACAATTTCTTCTATCTACATTAATTTTATTCATGAATCCAAAAAAAATTGTCTCATTATGTTTGATTATTTTATTTAAAGTGTATATATTAATATTATACTATCTTTATTGATAAATTATTTTTATAATACTTTATTATATTTATATAATAGATTTCAATCATTATATAAAATTAATTTTATTAAGTAATATTTATTGATAAGTCTATTGCATATTATTTATTTTGTAGTTGTAGTTATTGTAACAAAACTTATATTTTAATAAAAAGATAATGACATGTTTGAAAGATAATATTTAATATATTCATTTCGTTATTAACGCTTTTCTATTCATATCAATTTCTCATTAAGTCTTATTAATTAGATTTGTCTTAAAATATCCTATTAAAAATTATTCCATCTATCTTATAAAAGAGAATGATAGATGGTATAATTTTGTATGTTTTTAAGTAAATATTATTGATATTTTGATTTGTAAAAAAATAACAATATTAAAATTAACTACGTAAATAAAAAAGAAAATTTAAATTGTAGTAAAGTGTTTGATATTCACAAACTACCTGATTAATAAGTAAAATATTATAAATAAAGAGAAGAGTCTAATTATCTATAATATGGGCTAATTTTATCTTTCAACATCCATATTAAATTATAGTATTTTTGGATAGTTTAAATATTTTTATTTTTTAAAATAATAAAATATTTATTTTATCAAATTTTAATATAGCATGTTTAAGTAGATAAATAAGAAGGATTGGGAGACAAACAAAAATAGGTAGAAAGAATAAAGAAAACAAACACTAAATAAAATAAATGAAAAAAAAAACTATATTAAGATACACATATAAAAGTGTTCACTATGACCTAAAAAATTATGTTCCTGGGAAAATATTGATGATAATATAAATAAAACTAAAGTTATGTTATTTTAAATTAAATTTAGAACATTTTAAATAAAAATATGTATAAATATTAGATAAACGATACTAGTCTAAATAAAGAAATAACAGATTACTCATTCATTACAAATACAAATGAAAAAGAAAAATGTGATATATTTTATAATTTGGGTGGTACTTTTAATGAGGTTATATTTGACGCATCACACAACCCGCTACAAATATTATTATTATATTAAATATTATTATTATTAACATATTTAATTGTTTAATAAATATATATATATATATATATATATATATATATATATAATTGTTAAATCAACTTTTTCCTTTAAATTATGTTTCTATAAAATTCATTTAATTACTAATTTAAAGATATATCTTTTAAGAGAGATATTAGGGTCTACTTTATTTGTATTTTTAACCATCCTTAAAAAATGTTACTTTGATAAAAATTAACAAGTTTAAGAGAAATAAAACACGAAGACATAGAAACTAAATCTAGGAGGGAAATAGGTTTAACAGTGAATATTACTATTTTATAGTTAAAACATGATTAAATGATTGTAACATCAATCATGTTACTTTCAACAACAATAAAATTATTAATGAAAGAACTATGGATAATAATAATAAATAAATAAATAAGGTGAAATTTTTTTATTGTAATTCTATGTAAGGAGATTGTGAGTTTTCACACCTGTTTTTTTATTCTGTAACGTGATTTGGATCATTATATAATTATATGATTGTGTAAGTAATAATTTTAGATATAAGACATTAGAAATTGGAGTAGTATTTAACCATAACTTAAAAATGTGAAAGTAGAATAAATCGATGACTACAATCAACAATACAAAAATGAATTATATAATGATTTCTTTTACCTCATTTTAGCGCATGCTTTCAAGTTCTCTGACAATTGCTCGTAGTATTGTTTTTGCTGTTCCAAAAAATCAAAATAAATTTCCATGAAAAGTTTCAAGCCAAGGCATCATATAAATATTGGAATAAACTATACCTTGTCCGACACAGATCGCGACACTTTACTCAATGCTATCTCAAAATGTTTACTCTTGATGATTTTATTAAATTCATCCTGAGTTGTATCTTCAAGAGCAGCTATTGATGCTTCATTCATCTGTAAAGTCAATAAAATCAGAATCTCTCACAAACTGCCTCATCACCCTCTATAGTCCTAATTTGGTAGTTTGTACCACTAATAGTAATAATCAAGCAAGCATATAATGAATACTTACATACACACACCACATACAACAATGAAACTAAGATGAAACAGAGAACATTAATAAAAAGTAGAGACAAACCAATGCAGCAAGATCAGCACCACTCATATTTTCACAAGCTTCCGATCTTGCTATGGCACTTAAATCAACACTGGCATCAATATTCATCTTCCTTGCAATTGCTTTCAATATCAAAACTCGTTGGTCTGGACTTGGTAGTGGAACGTAAACAAGTTTACCAAATCTACCAGGTCGTAGGACAGCATGGTCTATTACATCAGGCCTAAAAAATTGAGAAAACAACTTGAATATAATGTGATGTAAGATAACTATTAGATACTATTATACTAGGTGCTTGTACCTATTTGTAGCACCGATCACAAAAACACCTCGCCTCTGCTCTGCGCCATCCAACTCAAGAAGTAACTGCAAATTAATATCAGTGTCATTTTTTTTTTTCATTTTGTTAAAATGACTATATTTTCTGATTCCGAAGCATTTGACCTGGTTCAATAGTCGTTCAGTAACCCAACTACCTTCCGTACCACGTTTTGTTGCCAAAGCATCAAACTGAAAATGACATCAAATTGTGTGTCAATATTCATGTTAACCAACACTATCAAGAACACAACCACATACAAACCTCATCGAAAAAGATTATACATGGCGCACATGTCCTTGCGCGGTCAAATAATGATCGAACTGCAAGCTCACTTTCTCCAACATATTTATTTAAGAGTTCGGCACCCTAAAAATCCAACAAAAGCAATTTAATTGTTTATATGAGTATGTATTCAAAAATAGACAATAAAAACCAGAACTTACGAGAAATGGAAAGAGTATTTAGAAAGACCTTAATATAGATAAAACTAGCGCCTGCTTCGTTAGCAACAGCTTTAGCTATCAGTGTTTTACCACAACCAGGAGGTCCATAAAGCAAAAAACCTGTCTCAATAGCAACCCCTAGAGTCTAAAAGAACGAATCCAAGAACAGTCATCAACCAACCGGTGATATATAGTTTCCATTTAAAAATTTAAGACATTAATTTTAAAATACTGTTTAAAAAAAAAAGTTTTTTTTTTTTAAATTAAACATACTTCATCCATATATACAAATTTGCTCATTAAATTTCAGGAAACCAAAAATATTGAGCAAAGTCGTGACATGCAGACCCTTCATCAAACAGTTTGTGTGCATGAAGAACACCTCGAGACAAACCCAAATGTCAAGAATCAAATTCAAAGAAACATGTTATCATATGGACTGAGGGAAAACCACACGTTAAGATCTAACTGGTTTGATGAGAACCGATGCCTAATAACCCCCATAATGGAATCCACACTATAAACTAAAACATAGAAGAACAAACCTAGTATTTAAAGTTTACCTCATAAGATTCAGGATATTTTATACGTCTTGTAATGTATAGTTCAAACTCCTTTCTTAAAAGCTCAAAACCCCCAACGTCTTCCCATTTTACATCAGGAAGGGTAGAGAATCCTTTTCTTTTTAATGAAGGTTGCATCATTTTGATGGTCTCCTGCGTAAATGTCCAGATAAATATATATAATGATTATCATCTTTTATGCGTATTCACAGCAAGATAGTAAAAAATACAATAATAATAATAATAGGTAGACAAGATATGAATCTAAAACACCTCAAAATCAGACATTTTGATAACAATATCTACTCCTTCAGCCGACCAGTCTTCAGTCCTCCACCCGTATTCAGCGTCCTCATTGAGATTTTGAGACAATTCAGATATCTTTTCATCAAAATTTCTCTCTATTGCCAGAATATAAGCCCCCTCAACCAGAGCTCTCAAATCAGCACCAACAAATCCTGAGGTAACCCTGGCTATCTTCTGTATATCAAATGAACCATCAAATCTAATATGGGAAGTAAGAAGAGACAGTATCTCCTTCCTGGCAGATTCATCAGGATTGGTAATCATAATTTCATCTTTAAACCGACCAGGCCTTCTCAAGTTAGGGTCAACAGCATCAAGCCTATTTGTTGCTCCAATTACCAGAACGTAGCCGTGACTATTCTCTGAATCCGCTGGATTATTTAATTGATCCATGCAAGTCATTAATTGTGACACAATACGTCTCTCCATGCCACTCTGCAAATTATCTCTTTTGGAAGAGATTACATCAATCTCGTCAATGAAGATGATTGAAGGTGCAGTTCTTTGCGCTTTAACAAAAAGTTCTCTTATATATTCTTCAGATGCACCTAACCACAAGAAACAGCCATATTTACTCACACATCATGACAGTAATAAAAAAAAACTATTCATGTACGACAATACCTGAAACTCCAGAAACCACCTCCGTAGCTGAAATCTGATAGAAAGGTAAACCGGTGACATTTGCTATTGCATTAGCAAGTGTGGTCTTCCCGCATCCAGATGGTCCATGCAACAAAATGCCTCCATTCATTACCTTCACCTGTAACAGTGTATGAGGGAGAAACAAAGGCAATATCATCCTCCTCAGTTTCTTCAAAACCTCTTTCATCCCACCCAAATCTTTAAACCTCGGTCCATCATTCCTCTTCACCTCATCATTCAAAACCGAATTCCTCTCCTCATTCACAAAAGTCACTTTACTACTATTCCCGGTCTCTTCATTCACAGGAGCACTAGCAGCAGTTCCCTTACTGCTATTTCCCACCTCCAATTCAACATTTTTTTCCTCCCCCAACACTTTCTTCGGTGTATACGACATCCTTAGCATTGTCTTCATCAAATCAAACCCAGGCTCCACCTTATCCCCGTAAATTGCGTCCTCCGACATTGACAAAGTTTCCTCATCGTCACTCTCCAGAACAGAGGACGATGAGGAAGGGATCTGCACCCTCCCTCCCACGTGTAACAACGCTTCCATCGTTTGCAATCTCTCTCCACCCTCATCGATTTTCTTCCTACGCTTTCGAGACGTGCTTTGAGATTCTCCATCGTCGTCATGGGTACGATTGGGCGTGGGAGTGTGATTAAGCTTGGTGGTGGAATGAAGCGCTTCCTGAACAAATCGAACAAGGGTTTGGTGTTTAGTTCGGCGATAATCGGAATAAGTTAGACGGAGATGGTGGGCGATTTTTTCGGCGGTGGGGTATATGGTCTTGCAGGCTTCAATACGGCGGCGGAGGGTTTGTTGAAGAGACCTACCTCCTCCGATTCTTCTACCCATCTTCCCAAACAATAGCACGCTCTCGTCTTATTTTCCTTCCCAGCACGTAAACCTAACCAAAACCTGCATGCGCTTTTCTGCTTCAAATTTTATTAATATTATATTCATATAAGTTATGAATCAAAATAAAATTAATAAAAAATATTATTTTATTAATAAATCAAGTTATTAATATCAATTAGTCATTTTCCATATTCCAAACATCTTCTTATACTGATTATTTCCATTTCATTTTTTCACCCTAGTTTTTTTAATTATTAAATTATAATTTTCTTATTTTGATAATTTCTTTATATATTTTTAAAAAAAATAGGCATAAGTACAATATCTATGTCATTAATAAAAAAAATTGTTTAACTTATATATATATATATATATATATATATAATTTTAATTTATTAAAATTATATATATATATATATATTAATTTTAAAATATAAATATTTATTTTTAAAATTACAATTTGTTAAAGATAAATAATTTAGGAAATTAAATATATATATATATATATATAAAATTACAATTTTAAGGCAATAATATATATATATATATATATATATATATATCACAATAAAAAATTAAATTTGTATATTACGGTAAAATAATGAAGTTAACAAGTGTAATTGAGAAGAGAATCACAAACAAAGCTCCTCGAAACAAATTTATATATGATACCCATGTCGTTAGTATAATAAACTTTGTGTTGGCTAATTCCATAATCAGCTGCAATAGAATTTTGAAACCCTTATCTTGCCAACGTGTATTTGATTTTGATGATTACATGTTAATATCTAAATGTGACATATTAACATAATTTAAAAAAAAATTATTACATTTATTATTCTAATAATATAATACTAGCTTTACATCATCTTGTTTATTTAAATTAATTCATCCTTAATCTGGTCATTAATTAAAATTGATTTGAGATTTGGATGGATAAATAAATATCGAATAGAACATAGTACTTTTTTTTTTTTAGTTTTTCATTTTTTTCATATTTTTTTAAGTAGAAAGGACAGTAAATTTCTTTCCATAGATGTAATTATTTCAAATAATTTATTATTAAATTATATAATATATTTTTATTTGTTTTTTTTCCTTAAAAATGGATTTAAAGATCAACTTTAAAAATTATTTTTGAAAATAAATAAACAAATATTTAATAATTATTAAAATAAATAAAGGAAGGAAGATGAGATCGGTGAAATCGAAACAAAATTATTATTATTTTTAATAATTCTAGAATGACCGGGCATACTAAAAACAGTAAACACTTTTATTAATTATGATTTTTTTTAAACTAATAATAAAAACACTTTTTAATAATTATGTTAAAAATAATATCAACTAATTTTTTTAGTTTTTAAAAAGTAAACTGAAAATTATTTATTTTTAAAAATAATGAACAAATTTTATACACTTTTACTAATTTCATTAATGCAATATAAATATACATATTAAAAATTTAATTATTTTATCAACTTTAGATTGATAAAAAAACTGTTACCAAGAATAAGAAATAACTAAAATAACATATTTTATAAATTTAGATTCACATCAAACTTTTTAAAGATAAAAATAAAAAAAATAAAAAAATCCGTATGTTAAATTTAGGTAAAATCATTTATTTGCCAAAAAAAAAAAATTGATTAAGCATCTAAACACGGCCAAATATATATTTATCCTTAGTTTTTAAACCAAAATTTGTAGGTATAGTTTAACTTCCAGAGTACATGTCCATGTGTTAGATGAGTAATAATAATACCTTGCTTTCTTTTCCTTTTTCCTTTCATGCTTGTTGCAATAATACCATTTTCCTAGAATTATTACGCCAGAATATTGTTTAATTTCATTTTAAATACTGATATTGCGAGGAGGTGTGTCCTGAAAAGCACAATAGGTGACCCTTTCACTGTGCAATCTTTTTCTTCTTCCTTTTGGTTCATTATAATACAACCTGTGATGAGCACTGCATCCTAAGTTTAATTAGGATGATTTTTCGAAACAAGCACTACAAGAGTTTGAAGGAAGAAAATAAAAAAATAGATAACACATTCATATCTAAATAGATCCTCCCTATATTGTACATACTGGAAACTGTACAAAGTCAATTACAAATAATTGGATGAAAGTTATGGTGTTTTACCTAGTCCACATTCAAGTTTAACAGTATAAGCCTTTATTTTGTTCTATTGGAAAGTAACATCTCACTGGGAGTCCACAGTCTGCACATTTGTATACGAGTAAGAGTAGCTCTCAACGTTGGAGTTGCCCTCTCTGAACTTCGTCCAGGAAACCCTCCAGGTTTTAAGCAAACTTTGCCTGCACGCACATCACAACAGTCAAATGACATTCATGGCAATCAAATCAAGATAGTAGTCAAACTGAAATCGAAATTGTAAATTAGTATCTAATATACAACAGAAATGAAGTAATGAACTACAAGATTTCCACTAATGCTACAATCATGGGTGAATATGAGAAAATTTTCAATAAAGCTGCCAATCTCGCAAATCTAGTTCCCATGATTTTTGGTTAACATACTAAAATATATGAAATCTAAAAACATTAGTTCAATAACCTGGCAAAGTAAAGGAATAAATGCAACAAGAACAGGTTTATTGGTGAAAGTAAATGTGCTAATTCGACAGTTTGTAATCAAGACGCAAAAATTTTTGGTCATCAACATATATCATATAGTCAGGGAATAGGAAAATATTCAACAGATAGGTTCTAGGTTCTATTTCTTAATGTTTCTCTTCTTTTATCCAAGCTTCATGTACATCCCAATAGCCCACGCTGAGACATTTTAATAGAGGATATAGAGCTATGCTTAAAGCAAATTCCTTGTTTTAACTACATCTCGTATTCCCACAACTGTAGACTGTTTCTTGCACAAAATTCAAATGCTGAAATAATTAAATCCGTTAATTATATGCAGTTTTAATGTTTCTCACATGCATATACCTCTCAGGTTCAATATTCCTCTTAGCAAGCATGAATGTTAAGAAGACAGGGACCATTGCTGCAGCTAGGTGCTTAAGCGTGTGACCACTGACAATATGATGTGTCCATTCATAGATCACCTCATCAGTAGCTTCTAGCACTTTAGCTAGAAGATAAGACCCTGGAAAGAAATTATTTAAAATATAAGTATCGCTGGTGCTTATAACGAATATTGAGAAAGAATTGTACCATAATATAAATCCAGACCTGCAGCCCAGAGCCAATACGTTGAATGTGTGTACATTGGAGGTAACAAAATAGCCATTAGAGGAATGGCAATGCAAGGCAAAAATTGGACCAGAGCATATGGACGAAGGTCATCAAAGAACCTGAGGAGAATGGGAGACAAGAACAATTATTCCAAGAGAAGTTTAGGTCAATATGTAGCTGAATGGTCAAGTACTTACTGTGTATTTGATTTCATGTTGAAATACCAATTAACATGGTGGTAAATTTTTGACATGATTGGTTCCTCATTGATAAATTGATTATGGGTCCAGAATAGAGTTTGAGTTAAAAAAACATTTTAGGTACCTTTCAAAAATCAATTTCATTCACTTTGTCAACGTTCATTACGACACATACTTAACAATTAACCTCAAATGGAATAATAACATTGAAAATAACTAACCTAACTTTTGACTATCTGAACTGTTCTTATTCCCGACAATGAATCATGTAGTGTAGCTATATCTAAATGCCAAATGAATTTGCAGAATCAAAACTAAGTTTTATGCTTTATTCATATGAAGAATAACTGCCGTCAACTTAAAAACAGAATCCTGATGCAAAACAAAATAAACCGTGAGCTTACCTCCAATACACAATGCTTATTATACCCGCCAAAAGGAGGGGTATAATTGAAACCGTTCCCTTCGACTCATCAATCCTCTCAATGATGAATATTGCAATGATCGATGTAAAAGCAACAGTCATCTGTAATCATAATCAGTTTGTAGCTTACAAAGTTGACAAGTTAATGGCATTCAGCAGTGGCAAAAATTTGTGTAAAACTAAATTCAAGTTTAAGAATAGGAACTTACTGGCAACCGATCCCACACAAGGCGAGCATCATCCGGCTTGAGATGATAGTATGAAGATCCAACTGCAACTGCAGCCACACCAGCATAAAAGCAAGTCCAACCCCATATTTCACCTTGCAAGCTTTTGGCACGCATCACAATCACAAAAACACAATAAATAGGATCATGATTTTGCTAGCCGTGATAGAAAATGAGAAATTGTGATAGAAAATTAACAGTATACCAGAGCCTAAAATAATTTCCATGATGACAGAGTACAAGTCCAATGAGTCCAATAACCAGAAAAGGGAAGTTCGATACCACATTAAGTGTATTAGGAATACCTGAAAATTAACACTGAATATTTAACAAATCTCCGTCCAATTCACACCAATTCCTCTAAAAACATAATCAGCACAGTCAAGTTCAAATTTTTAGACAACCCAATTAAAAAAGGTAAACAAAAGAAAAAGAAAACGGCGAAAAGTGAATCCGAAAGACAATACAAAGAAAGAGGGCTACCGAAGAAGTTTCGGTGGTCGGCGAAATTATGATAGTCTTGGGACTGAGGAATAGCTGGGGTAACGATCATGAGTACGATGAAGCAAAAAAGTGCAACCAGCCATGCATAAACGCTGCGTTTACTCATGGTTGGGGTTCGGAAGGAGAAGATCTCGTCTCAGGCTCAGTTATAGGATAAATTAGAAGGTTTAGCTGTGTCAAGGCGTCGGTGTGTTGCTGTAAACAGTTTTCTATTATTCAATTACTTAAAACACTTGTTCATAATCAAAATAGTTTTTAAATATCAATTTTGATTTTTAATTTTAAAAAATTAATAAAAATTTTATTTTTTATTTTTTTACATTATATTCCATCTTTGTGTTATTATTGATTTATAAAATATAACTATTAAATATATTTTTCAATTTACTTTTAAAAATTAAAACTAACAATAGTAATAAAAATAACTTTAAAGATAATTTAAAAATACATTCAATAATTATAATTCAAAATTCTGTTTAAGGATGGACAAAATATGATAAAAGTAGATAATAATTCAATAATTTAATAATTAAAAAATAAATTATTTTAATAATTTTATAATATAAAAAATGTAATATAATTATCTTAAAAATACAAAAACATAAAAAATGTAAGCAATAAAACTTTATCGTTTTATTTTCTTTAAAATCAAACATATAATTCTCTTTATATATTATATATGAAATTTTTTTTGTTTCATTATAAAGTTCGTGGTGTCGGATATTGTGGTGCCATGTTTTTTTTCCCGAGTGAAGGTCACAAATTCTTTTATGAAACTCGATTATGACATAGTGAGTTTGTTTGTTGTTTAGGCATTTTAAAAGATGAGTGAATATATCTTTTTTATAAAGGTCTCCGTTGTATATTGTATATAAAGAGATTATTCTTCTTATATTTATCGTGAACTATGTACCTTTTTATGGGAGTCATTCACGTAGGTTGTTCGGTGTTGATATGGAAGATTTCATCCTTAGACTCGATAATGTTTCTAGAAGGAGAGTTCGGTGTTGTACTTATTTCTTGGTACTGGCCAATTTTGATAAGACGTCAATTCTACTATTCTGTTCTTGTGATACATGTTATATGACGAATTTATCAAATGTCCTTATGATGTTTTAGCGATATAATGATATTTCTATAGGATGGGTTCTTTTGCCTGATATTCATCGTTTATCTGGCTGGTCACGAGTTAAGAATCACTTCAGACTGAAGTTATTTGACTCTCATTTCTTTTGCTAAAGATAACTCAACCAGTAATGCTTTGTACTCGACTTGGTTGTTCAAAGCCTTAAAATCCTTAAAATCAAATCTTACCACTTGTTAGATAATTACATCATTAGGTCCTTCCAAGATTATTCCTACTCCACTCCTTTTTTTATTAGAAGAGTCATCAATACTGAGAGTTCAAACATCATGTTACTCTCCCATTGATGGTATTTTGCCCAAGAAGTCGACGAGGAACTGAGTTTTCATCGATCCCTTACTTTCGTATGTGAGCCCAAACTTGGACAATTCAACAGACCATTTGGTCATACGCCCCGCAAGTTCGAGTCGTTGTAATATTTGCTTGATCGGGTAGTTGATTTTTACTACGATGAAGAATCACTGAGAGTAGGTCGCAGGGCAGAGTGGATGAGAGCTAATACCAATTTTTTAATGGTCTAGTACCTTTTTTCGGATGGATGAAGTTTCCTGCTAGTGAAGTAAATGAAATGTTGAATTTTGTTCCCTTCTACTACGAGGACAAAGCTGATGGGCGATTTAGTTGTGGCCAAATATAACAATAAAATGGTTGCTTCTTATGGGCTAATGAGAATAGGTAAGGAAGTTAAATCTTCCTTGATACAACGAACACATGGTTTCGCATTTCGACGTCCATTCAAACTTTTTTGTAAAGTGAAGTAGCTTATAGAATGGTTTAGTCTTCTTAACTAATTTAGGCAGAAATCGGGTTAGTGCTACTAGTCGACCATTTAAGCGTTGAGCATCTTTGACGTTCCTTGGACTCAATGTTAATATCAGAGTTTCGCATCTATATGAGTTTGCTTAATGCCCCTTTGAGTAATCATAAACCCTAGGAACTTACTATCTTCGACGTTGAAGACGCATTTTGCAGGATTCAATCTCATATTGTGTCGCCTTATTTCTTGAAAAATATGTTCTAAATGTAGGAGATGATCAACAACACTGATGGATTTGACCACCATATCATCAACATAGACTTTCATGTAATGATCGATGACGGTCTTGAAGACCATGTGCATCAAACATTGATACGTCACACCTGTGTTTTTCAAGCCAAAGGGTAGAACTCAGTAACAATAATTAGCTTCATTCATCATGAAGGTCGTTTTCTCTATATCTGGTGGGAACATTCTAATCTGATTGTATCCCGAATATGTGTCTAGGAAGCTAAGTAGTTGATAACCCGATGTATTGTCAATCAACCGATCTATATTCGGTAGGGAATGAGTCTTTTGGACGTGCTTTGTTCAAATATGTGTAATTTGTGCACAATCACCACTTCCCGTTGGATTTCCTTACCATAACCACATTTGCAAGCCATGTTGTATAAGGTACCTCTCTGATGAACTAAGTTTGCAGGAGTTTCTCAACTTCCTGTTGGACGGCTACACATCTGTCTCTTCCTAGCCTTCTCTTCCTCTAAGCTACGGGCTTTATGTGGGTGAAACATGCTAACTTATGACAAATTAGGTTTAGATCAATACCAATCATATCCGAAGGCCTCCATGCAAAGAGATCAATATTTCTTTTTAATATGTTAGTAAGTTTGAGCCGATCTTCTGCTTGTACCATTTGTTTGATCGTGGTTACTTGTTCTTCTCTTGTTTCTATTTGGACTTCCACCAATTGCTCCAAGATGATTTAATGTTCGTCTTCCTATTAGGACATTGTAAGACGTTTCTGCTTCTATGAGAATTTACTGGACCATGACTCGTTTACTATGTTCAACCGAACCAAACATGGTGATTAAGTCTTTATGTACGCGTTCTCCACCAAAGTTGAATAGTGGTTCAAGATAGGGTTGAATTATTGTAAGAGGAAGGTTGAGTCTGAGGAAGGTAAACCAATATAAGACATCTGCCAACGTTGTGGACAACTTCGAGATGTCGTTTTCATGCAGAATTTGATGATCCTCCTCTTACGAAACCCCCTGCAATAGTATTGATGACATGCCCTGATGAGTTATTTAATAAGGTCTTTAACCTTTTGACATTCTTTGGTGATATGCCCATAATTTTGATGAATCAGCAATACTTGATCGTATCCACATGGATCGATGTGTGCAGTGGTGGAGGGGCATGTACGAGTTCCAGATTAAACGCTTCTTATTTCTTCCCAATTAGTGTTTAAGGGTGTATATCACTCATATTTGGTGGTCTTAGGCTTTTGAAAAGGTTGAGTAGAAGGTGTTCGAGAGTCAGTGTTATGCTTTTTCTTGTATGGGACATTATTATCTTTCATTCAGATATAATTGGCTGGTCGAGCGTGTAACTCGTCAAGGGAACTTGGTGGATAAGCAAAACAATTGTCCATTAAGGGTCCTGATTGTAGGGCACACAATATGGCATGTAGAGCCACTTCTAGGTGGAAGTTTGATATTGTATTTGAAACTCATGAAAACCGATCCATAAAGCTCCGAAAGGACTCATTTTCACCTTGTTTCACGCCTTCTAAGGCTACTGATGTGGCTTTGTGTATATTACTGGCTGTAAACCTAACTTGAAATCATTCTGCCAACATATAGTACGAATATATAGAGTTATATGGTAGAGAATTATACTATCATAATGTTGCGTTGCTCATCTCAATATGGTGAAAAACACTCAACAGATAATGGCTCCACTGTTGTTATACAGTTTTACCTATGTCTTGTATATAGCCAAATGTTCCTTAGCGTTTGTTGTCCAATACTTTCTTATGTCTAAAGATTTCCAATTAGATAGAAGAGGTGTTTGCATGATTCTTGGGACAAATGGGTGGTCGTTGTCCTCCTCTTGAATTTGATTCTTTGGGTTTATGTAGGTTGGGCTCAAGGTGGAGCTTGTATGATAGGTTCTTTCGAAGGCGGGAGTCGAGGTATGACTTTGTTAGTGCGTTCGTGCCTTCCCTGCTCCCTTGAATGATCTGCCCTCCTGAAGTTTGGAGGTCTACCGCTTGGTTTGGGTGGAATGTTTGCTCCCTGAGCAGAAACTTTAGGTTGCTCTTGAATACATGATTGACGTGATGTTGCGGTTCCTTCCTTGTGCGTATTCGACTTAGCTGTTTGTGATCGTTGGAGTAGCGTTTTCATTTCTTTACGCAGTGTCTGAAACTCGGTTTGGTGTTGTTTCTTGATCAACTGCAATTTGTCGGACGCCTTTTGTTGAATTGCTTGATGTTTTCTCTGAACAACTTCCAATTCTTTTGCTTCCTTCTGTTGGATCTGAAGTGACTTAACATTGTTATGCTCTTACAAATTTTTTATCTCTTCTTGAGTTCTCTGTGCTTCTTAAGATTGTTAATGACAACTGAAAGATCCATGTTGTAGGAGAGATAGTGGGGGATGTTATACCGGACCCTCCAGTGGGTGTCAATGTTCTTACCGACCAAGCAGGAAGATGAAGTCGATTAACCGGTCTTCGAACTAGCTTTAAAGACTATTTCTGGGAAATTAGGTCCACCTATAAAAAACAGTTAAAGGGTCAAGTCAACTTTTAGACAATAGATTAATGTATATGAGATGATATTTACTCCTTGATTATATCATTATATAATATTTAAAAGATAATAATAGACTATGATTTAATAATTGATAATCCATCAAATAATAATGGGATAAAAATAATTAATAACAAAATAAATACAAATAATATCTTTAATAAATTTAGGTCAATAAACACAATTAATTGATAGAATAATTTTGGACCAAATAAGTATAATAAATAATATTATTAATCACAATCTTAGGTATAACTCCAATTAAATAGTTTATTTGTATAGATATTTTTAAATAAAGTTTCAATTTACAATATTTACTATTTCTAAAATAAAATAAGATAATTGTTTTTATTATTTATTTATAAGATGATAAGAAAAACGAAA